GCCCCTGCCACACAATCATGATTGCACAGCTACGTCCGAGCCGCACTCAAAATGCTGGGCATCTCGCTGTCAGACGGGCATGTGCAGAAGGATGCTTCTCACTCTGGCGTTGGCCAAGGCTGTTTTGACGCGAAGCAAGAGGAGGCTATGCCGCATCCTTCTTTCGCCTTAGCGAGCCAGGCCCAAAAACCACTGGCGGCGTGCCGAACTCTAAATGCAGCGCAAGCGAAGACCCCACGAGAGAAGAACATCGAACAAAGGACTTCAACCTTTCAAGGATCTGCACATGGATGTTGCAAAGCTGCTCTGCTTGCAGCTTCCGCTCCTTCTCCGCCTTTACCACCTGCAAGGACTCTTACAGCAACCGCTCCTAAAGTGCGTCCCAGAGTGCTGGCCCACGGTCATGCCTCAGGGCCTCATAGCCCCAGAGCGTTGCAGGCTGAGCGCGCCTCCACCGGATCTTTGGTGAACACATCCAGGACCTCTGATTTGCTCAGCCAGCTCCACAGCACTGATTCCGACATGGTTCGTTCCATTATCAACATGTCATTAGCGAATAGAGCATGCATACACGTAGAGCATATATATATATATATATATTTATTTATTTATTTATTTACTTATTTATTGATTTATTTGCTTATTTATTCATTTATAAGGTGACTACGGTGGTTGCGCATGGAGCTGGCGGTTAGCTGGCGCTCTGCCGCCATCTCCGGCCCTCACACTTCATCAGCTAGAATTCTCAAGCGTCGGCTCACAGTAGCCCTGGAAAATGGAGAAGTCTATAGGCCACCAGGGGCCCTGCGGTTTCTGCTGTGGAACGCTTGCCTGCAAAGCGGGCTCCACATCCCCATCCTCTTCTTGCCTTTGAATTGCGACTGCGCACCTATGCCTTTGCTCTTGTCAGCTGGGTCCAGCTCGCCAGACATGACCTTAGAGAATATAGGAATTGGCTCCCCCCCCCAACTCTTCCCAGGCTTACCATGACCGCAAGGACCGCAAGCGCTAGTAGCCCAATAGGGATCCAAGGGCCAGGCACCAAAGCTGACCCGCACGCCTACCATCGTTGGGAGAAAGGCGAGATGCGAACCAGCGGGGAACGAGCACCCTTCTTGAAACCGAACGTGTTCACCGGTCCAGCCAACCGGAAACCCTAAACCCTCAACCCTAGACCCTAAATCCTAACCCTAAACCCTAAACCCTAAACCCTCAACCCTAGACCCTAAACCCCTAGAGACCCATTGCACTTCGGGATCTGCCCCGTTGTCCGAGCGCGCTGCCCAAGAGCAGGATGCCCAGGGCCGTGAAGCCGAAGATGCCAGCAGCCAGGGAGCTCAGGCCTTTGTAGGGTTCAGGGTTTAGGGTTTAGGATTTAGGGTTTAGTTTTTAACTTGGTGCACTTCTCGATTTGCGCGTGTCATCCTTGCGCAGGGGTTTAGGGTTTAGGGTTTAGGGTTTGGGGTTTGGGGTTTGGGGTTTAGGGTTTAGGGGCTCAGGCCTGACGGGTCACGATCCCCTTGTTTGTGGGAGCTGTTAGGGTGTGTTTAGAAGAGGTTTTTGGCGTCTTTAAGGGGTTCTTGGATCAGGCCTGAGGAGTCAAGATGGGAGTTTCTTTAGAGGGTTTTTCGTCGGGCGGGGGGGGGGGGGGGGGGGGGGGGCGTGTTGGGTGGTTTTCAAGGAGCTCTTTGGAGGTTGTCGGCGGTTCTTGGGGGTTGTGTAGGGCGGTTTGTGTCACCAACACGGGGGAGGGTTGGGGGGGCATTGTGAAGATCTTCTCAAGTTGTCTGGGCTCCAGGCCGACGACAGCAGCTTGGAAGACCAGCCTGTCCACGGCTGTTGTCCCGCTTTGTTCCCTTCAAAGGTTTCCCCTTGGAGGTTTCTTTGGGTGCTTAGAAGTAGGGTAGCAATGGTTATAGCTCCTTTAGGGTACTTCTAACCCTACTTATGGGTAGTCGAGTGAACCCCCCCACCCCCTCTTCTCAGGTCAGCTGAGCCACCCAAGCCGCTGGACAGGGTAGAAGTCGCTCTCCTGGTTTCCCCCCTCCCTCCCGAAAAAATCGGAGAGTCATCAAAAGCAGCCGGGTGTGTGTGGTTGGTTTCGCTTACTGGCCCAAAACCCAAGGAAACAAAAGTTGAAACTTTCAGAATAAACTACCTTTATAAGCAGCCCACAAGATGAAAAGTTGGGTTTTGAGCCAGTAAGTTCAAGTCTGCCCTAGGTCGCACACCACAGGATGGTTGTAGAACCACTCCTTAAGCATATCAGTGCTGCAATGCACCGACATGCAAGAGGAAGAGATTCACGGAACAGGGCACACAGCAGCTTGTCACAGATCTGCAGTCAAAGAGCGGCAGAGCGTGACGTAAAGGTCCAGAAGCCGTAGCTCAAGGCTGCAACAGGAGCTGCTCCAAGGAAGCAGGCCTTGAGGGCAAACAACCTCAAGTGCATTCTCCTCTCTGACACGTACCTTTAGCCCTCTGCTACGGGATCGATGCCATTCAAGTCGACCTCCTGCTGAACCTGCCATAATAGAGCGGCAAAGCCGACGCTAGGCGCATGCCATAAAAAGCCAGCTGCATGCAAAGGACATGGCACGGTGAATGGCTTTGACTGGCGGGACACCACGAGCCCTGCAACATTGCCGGGAATGCAATTCGCTTCTGCTCCTCGCTTGGGACGGCCTGCGCTCATGCTCAGTGCACACATTGCGTGGCTCGGACAAGCCTACAAACCCTAAACCCGCAAGCAACCACATAACCCTAAACCCTCAACCCTAAACCCCTAGAACCCTACACCCCTTGTTAGACACCCCTGTTGGCCTCAAACCCTAAACAGCTTCTTCGCCATTGAAGCATGGCATGTCGGCCCTGCCTCCACCTGGGACTCCTGCTCAGCAATCGTGGACGCCAGCCGCTGCCGCAGTCGCTGCGACAGGGCGCCTCGGGCAAAAACAGCCCCCGTGTTTTTTAGCAGTAGGAATCAGAGGAATGATAGTAATAATCATGATGATAGTAATAGTAGTTGAAACTTTTTGTAAAAAAAGTAATAATCGAAATAAACTGGAACAATAGAAACGATAGCAATACGAGCAATACTACTACCAATAGTGCAAATAGTAGATAGTAAGCCCTTAGTGCTGCGACAAAGGCATCTCTTAGCAATCCGAGGCTCCTTGGCCAGCATCTGGGGCTGATGACTCCAGCGAATCCTGCAAAGAACTTAAGTGCTCAGCTTTGGGGGTTTTAGGGGTTCGGGTTTAGGGTTAGGGTTTGGGATTTTTGCCACCTGCTTTGGGGCTTAGGCCTCAAACCCCCAAACCACCTACAAAGGGAACGAAACGTAGGGCAGATGTCAGCTCTGAAACCATGGTCTTTTTTATGTGGGTACCTTCTTACTGCAGTTGATTTCTACATACAACAAGGACAGCCGAGAAAAGGAGCCCTAACACAAGCCCTTTTAAAAAAGACCAGGCCTGCGAAGCCTTGGCTTCTGCCACCGAGTTCGTCTCTTCCGGCGGGCTCGCCTGATGTTGTTGGGAGATGTGTGGGCTCCATTTCGCTCCTACCGTTCCGTCTTCGAGCATTTAAAGGTTCCCGAACGAAGTATACAGCACACAGTGCTTCCAGAAGGCTTCCTGCCAAGGATCATTTTTATGTGCCTCCTCCCTGTCCTACACTGCTGGGGCATCTGGGCACAACGCGAAAGGCTCACAAATTTCACCCACGAGGTCCCACGCCCTCGTGGCGACAGCCGCCCGCATGTCCGTCATGCGCCTGGCTGTGCTGGAGCTAAAGACCAGGAATATGGGGGGGGTTTCCGACTTATGGGGATGTGGGGTCCTCGTTCTAAGGGAAGCCTACTATTTGGGGGCTTACATTAGGGGTCCCTACTACTCGTAAGCCCGTATATTGAGAACCGAATTGACCGATGTTGATGCTTTGCTAGGATGGTCACACACATTGGTCTCGGTGTGAGCCGCTTATGAGGCCATGTGAATGAAGAATCATCAAAAACCCACAAAGAACCTAAACCTAAAACCCCTACCTTGAGAACCCTAACCTACTTTTTTGGGGGGCTATTTCTATGTAACCCCTTTCAGGATTCTTTGGCTACAAAAAAAGTTGGGGTTCTTGAGGTAAACCCTATAAACCGTAATTAAAAACCCTCAACCTCGCGACTTCTGCCCAGTCTTCCAGTTGCAGAGAAGCGCCTCTTGGCCGCCAGGCCCGCCACCACTGCGGCGGCCGCGGAAAGCGCCGACCCCACACCTTGCGCCCAAAGGTTTCCGAGGAATGTTTCACCGCTGTGTCCGCTATGTAGGGTTTAGGGCCGTTTAGGGGTTTCGGTCTTGAACAACGGGGTTTGCCGGGCTTTCTTGTGCCGGGGAACTTGGGCGCTCAGCCGGCACCACCTTTTTGCATACAAAAGGTAAGGGGTAAGAGTAAGAACGAGAACATAAACATCATCCCCCCCCCCCGGCCCAGGCCCCCCCCTCTTAGAGGTCTTAGGCGCTGTTTCGCAGTGCAACCTGCATGTTCGGCCTGGCTCAGCATTGTGCATGGCCCACCTGGGCTTTGAGGCGAGCCTGCGCGGGGCACTTCTCCACATGAGGTGGCATCCGGCTGGCTCTGTTCTCCAAACTCAGACAGCTCTGTCTTCTGTGTTCGCTTTTTTTTGGTCCCTTTTTCTTAGTGGAAAGTCAACTTCAGCTGACCGCTCACGACCGCCTGGACACAGGCAGGGCAGGCGGCGCCGTCCCAAGGACAAAGGCCTGGCAGAGGTCTCTCCAGTCTCTCGAGGCTTGATCTGAAGTTCAGCCTTGACTGTCATGCCCCAGCGCAACCCGACATGCTGTGCACCCCTAGCTCGAACCTCGGCGAGAGGAGCCATGGCGACAAGAGGAGCTGCCAGAAGAAAAGACGGCCCAAATTAAGGAGTCAAACAAGCTTCTCCAACAGCTGTGAACTCAGAATCATTCGCTACGTGAGGCGCTCCATCGCGCGCGTTGAGTAAACGAATTGCGACAACAAATTGCGAACACTGCTTGCCACTTATCTGCTGAGCACGATCGGCAGCGAGCAAGAAGCAAGCCATCAATCTTGAGGGAGGAGTCCGGGAGGAGACCCACCAGTTCTTTACTTTCATCAATCTCTCTGCTTCTCCTCTCTCGTCTCCCCTCTCTCTCTCCCGCTCTCTGAACGAGGAATGCTCCTTTCTTTGGCTCACGGCCGGACCAAACCTCCCAAACGCCCTACGCCAGCTCAGCGGGACCGCTCTCTGGCCTCCGGAAGACCAGCCTCCGAACGCGGATCGCACCCTGTGAACCCTCTCAAACATGAGGATCATCTGCTCGGTGCACCGACATGAACTAAACTCCACATACCTTCAACTTGGGGAGGGACAGGTTCTCCCTGAACCAGGGAAGCTGGCAGTACTGCCGCAGCCTGGGCGATACATGGGTCCATGAAGGTGCACCGCCTGATCGCAACACGAACTGCGCAGAAGAAAGATATTTGAGGGGGAAGATGCTAAGCGAGCGGCCTCAGGTGGGAATTCGCATCCAAAGCAAGGCCTCTCTCCTTTCTGCACCACATCCCTGTCTTGCGCACCCTTCAACGCACAGACAGGTGACCCGACCTCCAGGCGGTGGATAACATACTCGTGTGGTTGCTCGTTCACGTGACCAAGACCTGTGCGGAGGAGCAGCCTCTGTGCCTGTTTCTCTACAACACGGCAAAGCTTTCAAGTTCTCGAGGCAAGCCTCCTTGGCCAGGGGTTGCAACCGAGAGCACCAAACCCTTGCCACATCCGGCAATGAGGCAGTCCACCTTGCATGGGTGACATAGGTGCGACATGTTCGGACGTCGTGCCGTGCAGACATGCTCAGGTCCCCACGAGTTGGTCCTCAAGGTCTTTCGGCCTTACTCCCCAATTGCTTTGCTGCATGTTCTTGTGTTTTGCATGAGTGCCCGGAAAGTGAGGGCAATGGCACATGCTCGAAGACTTCGAGGCAAATGCACCAGTCATAGCCTTGCAACTGGCCCGGGCCACCCAAGACATCCGCAAGTTACTGTCGGCAAACTGACGCCACAACGGCTTCGCCCGCGGTACCTTCGGAGGAGATCTTCTCTGGCAGCTCAGGATCTGCCTGCCATGTTTTCAATTCTTGTTCGGACTGTCTGTTCGAGATCTTTCATGCTCCAGATGCATTTGTCCGTTTCTCGCGGCCCCATGCATCCATGAAGCGTGTGCTCTGTTTGCGGATTTTTTGCGGAACGCAAGCACTGGAGATATCTGAAGCTTCTTGGCTGGGTCTGGAAGCGCACTTCTAAAAGCTGCAAGGCCATGGGGGGCGAGAGGAAGCCAAACAGATCAACATGCTCCTGCAAACACCTGCCACGCCAACAGGCACCGGACTAGCACTTTATAAAGACTTCTGAGGGAGACGCTGCATGTTGCTGTACTCAAGTGAAGTCGTCATCATCTTCTTCCGTCAGGCGCAAAACACGGTGCCAGCAGTGCGAAGTCTGCATGGTAGCAAAGTCCGCCAGTCAGGTCCTTGGTATCCTCGTGCCCATCGAACCTCGGAGCAGCTCCTCAATTCCCCTCATATTCCCATACTGCTATTGCGAGACCATTATGCTACCCCTACACTACTATCTGCATTCCTATATTCCCACATTTTAGAATTCGTTTAGTACTATATTTCTATTGTTTTCTATATTTCTGGACACTGCAAGGCATGGTCCACATAAGGCGTCCGCCCATCACATTCCACTCCACGCGCACGCAGCGCACGCACATAGAAGCCCGATCCGCAGCCCATGTCGATGACCTTCTTGGGCTTCTGGTACCTGTTGGGTGCTCGAAATTAGGGTCTCTTTTGACGTCCTGTATCTTAAGGGTGCCGTACTATATACATATGTATTTATATTTGTTTAGGACCCACCACCACCACCACGACTACTGCTAGTACTACAAAGACGACGACAAGCGACTTCTACTGCTACTACTACTACTACTACTACTACTACTACTACTACTACTACTACTACTACTACTACTACTACTACTACTACTACTACTACTACTACTACTACTACTACTACTACTACTACTACTACTACTACTACTACTACTACTACTACTACTACTACTACTACTACTACTACTACTACTACTACTACTACTACTACTACTACTACTACTACTACTACTACTACTACTACTACTACTACTACTACTACTACTACTACTACTACTACTACGACGCCCCAACCGGGTGGTTTGCCCACACACAGGGTGGTCAAGCATGGGTTTGGACAAGCATGCTTGAGTCAGCTCTTGCCGCAGCATGTCAGCATGAACCATGTGGCACCCAACAGCCCAAAGCCTAAACCTTAAACTCCAGAAGGTCTTGGTCCTATTTAATAGCTCAGGATTTCGCAGACGACTCGTCTTGTGGCCACTACACTACTGACGCAGTCCCGTGCTTGTTGGGTCGCGCGGCCACAGGTCCGCGGTCTGCAGAGACGGACACGGCACTGGCATACGGGAAGCGGGGCGCAGACGCTGGGCAGCTCGCTGAGGAGGCTTTCTTTCTGCCTCCGAAGCAGGTGGCCAGCGTCTGCGCCCCGCTTCCCGTATGCCAGGGCCGTGTCCGCCTCTGCAGACCGCGGACCTGTGGCCGCGCGACCCAACAAGCACGGGACTGCGTCAGTAGTGTAGTGGCCACAAGACGAGTCGTCTGCGAAATCCTGAGCTATGAAATAGGACCAAGAACTTCTGGAGTTTAAGGTTTAGGCTTTGGCTGTTCGTTGCCCACAAGCAGAAGACGAGTGCAAACCGTAAACTGTCTTACGCCTCAACCCTGAACCCACGCCCGAAAGCAGTGTTATTTCCTTGAAGCCCAGGACGACAAAACACCGAAGCCCTCGTGCTGGACTCATGCCTGAAACACTCCAAAGCCCAAACCGTAAGACGCGCGCGCGGGCAAACCATAGGGTTCTGCGAAGTCCGGAACCCAGGGAAACCCGCAGAGGGTCGTCGTTTATGAAGAAAAAACGAAAAAAAGAACACTGTTGAAAGGCCGGCAAAGGCCAGAAACGCTGCGCCTGCGCATGTTTTATGTACCTTCCAAAAACAAGCGCGGGCAAACCATAGGGTTGCACCGTACTACTACTACTACTACTGCTACTACTACTACTACTACTACTACTACTACTACTACTACTACTACTACTACTACTACTACTACTACTACTACTACTACTACTACTACTGCTGCTACGACAACGACGATGATGACGGCGACGACGACAGGGTCACGTGTCATTGTTCCAAATCAAAGCGTCTTATCGAGTTGTTGAAGGTTTGTATGTTTACGCGAAACTTGAGAAGCCCAACAACTACTTGTTGAAGTTGCCCAGCCCAAACATAGTCACAAGCGCATAGATATTCATTCACATGACGGTCTTAATGTCGTGTTTGCATGTGGAATAATGCTGCATCGACAGACATCTTTGTGCCATAGGATGCGCTACAGCGCGAAAATGCTGAATATTTTTGGGGAGGTGGTGACATGAAGTACACAAGTTGCCTTCAGAGTCGGAGTGAGGGAGTGAGGGAGTTAGCGGCTTTGGGGCTTCAACCTCCACTTGCTGGGTCACTGGATGAAGGCGCCGAGTGCGTGAGCCAAACCGGCATCGTGATGATGCAGCCTTGCAGAAATGCCCCCCCATCTTGAGGCAGAATACACTGCTGCCAGCAAAACCCCATGAAGGAGCACGCCAGGGCTGTGATCTGTCATCCCTAGAATCCCTAGAACCGTGGCAGGGTCTGACATGACGTATGCCATGACTCCATAGAATCTTCATCAGAAACCCTTTCACCCCTAAACCCTAAACCCTAAACCCTAAACCCTAAACCCTAAACCTCAACCCGAAACCCTAAACCTAAACCTCAACCCTAAAATGCGACACCTTGAGCCCGTGGCTGTGAGCTCCAACTTCGCCAGGCACCGGTGGGCCCAACCAACTCCTTCAAGAGCTCCAGGTCGCAGCCGGGCTCGGGCTGCGGCGCCTCTTTCTGTGCGTTTAGAGGGGTTTAGAGGGTTTAGAGGGAGGGTTTAGAGGGCTTAGAGGGCTTAGAGGGTTTAGAGGGTTTAGAGGGTTTAGAGGGTTTGGAGGGTTTGGAGGGTTTGGAGGGTTTAGAGGGTTTAGAGGGTTTAGAGGGCTTAGAGGGTTTGGAGGGTTTGGAGGGTTTAGAGGGTTTGGAGGGTTTAGAGGGTGTAGAGGGTTTGGAGGGTTTGGAGGGTTTGGAGGGTTTGGAGGGTTTAGAGGGTTGCAGAGCTTATGGCTTTTTAGGGCTTATGATATAGAGTTTATAGCTTACAGGGCTTGTCGGGTTTATAGGATCGTTTATAGGGCTCACTCAGGGCTTAGGGCCTAGGGCTTATCGGAGTCTGTAGGATACGACGTAGGGGACCTGGGACGAGCCCCTGATGCAAACTGCAAACTGGCCTGGTCGGTTCCAACGCTAGGTTCAGCGACAGCCGCCATCTCATGCGGTTCCAGCTTAGCTTAGTGACCTTAATTCCAGAAGTGAGTGAAGTGGACTGGGCTAGGCAAGCTACTCCTGGCGCGGAAGGGGGGGAAGGGGGCGAAGACTCGTAAGCTTTTCGGGGCGGAGCTGGCTGTGAAGGCATGTGCCCAGGTAGTCTGTGTCTCAAAGGATTCAGTTTGGGATGCGAGGCTGGCAAGCAGATGGTACTGTAAGGAACCAGCAGGGGAATCGGCAGCACAGCGCGTTTTGCAGCACACAAAGGAGCAGCACAAGACGACTTTTTCAGCTCTCGCGAGCCATATCGGACTGTACAAACGGAAGCTTGCGAGTTTGCCAAGAGACATACTTCAGCTCAGCCATCGGCAAAACACATGTCGGGTCCTCGTCTGCCTTCGTGTCGCGACCCTTGCCGCTGCCCGCTAGCTGCTAGCTCAGCATCTCTACAACCTGCAGCAGCTTGCTCAGCCCAGCATGGGTGAGCCCATATCGGCATTTCCCAGAATAGGGGTGCCCCTAGTACACCCCAAAGAGTACCCCCGATTTTCGGGAGCTGCATGTCAAGACCCGTGTGGCCTCCCTGAGCTGCGGCTGCCAGGACTCCTCCAGAGGATTCTTTTGCCAACAAATAAGCGAGAGAGTCCAAGATGTGGGGGGAGGGCCTCTCCGAAATTCTAAATATACCTTCTAGTGGTCGTTCTGGTAAGGGAATCCTACTATTTGGGGCTTCTGCTCGGGGGTCCCTTATTTCGTAAAACCCTGACGTGTGTGTGTGTGTGTGTGTGTGTATGGGGTAAGGGCAAAACCGGCGCAGCATGTTTCAAGGCCTGGCTTCGAGAGGAGAGCTTGCTGCTCATCTCATGCAGGCGTTCCAAGAGCGGTTCCTTCATGGGCACATTGAACTCGTAAAACCGGTCTGCAGGATCTTCCGAAAAGTTCACAAAATCACACATTCGCAGGCTGAGCTGCTCGGAGCAGATCATCTGGCAAGGACCGGACCTGAGGCAAAAGTCCACCAATCACTCCGCTCATCTCCACTCCCTTTTCTGAAAATCAGAGGCGCAGGCACATGTGACGAGATGGTCGCGCATTGCACGGAGGCGCTTGCTGCCACCTTTCCTTGGCCGTGTCTGCTTGGCCTACCTGACCTTGAGGGGTGGTGGGCTCTTTGGGGTCACCTGTTTAGGGTTTAGGGTTTAGGGTTTAGGGTTTAGGGCTAAACCCCAAACCATACCAACACCCCCTTGGCGGCCAACACTCTTGCGTTGACACTCAGCATCTCGTTCGCGGCCTCATGCTGGCCCACATGAAAACAAGGCCGCGTGTGCTTCAATTTTTCGGAGATAAACATCTGAGACAGAGGCATCCCGAATCTCTGCCAGATTGGGTCCAGCTGGCTGGTCTTGCTTGACGGTCGACCTACGACACCAGACTAGTCTCGCACACGGTTCTTCAACTAATCTTACCTACCTCATCCCGCTCTGAAAGCACTGAGACCTCGACTCTGCAGGACTCTCACTCACTCCGCAGAGGTCCCAAAGTTCAAGCCTTGCGTGCATCTGCCCCCCCCAAGTGCTATGCGGCGCCTCGACTCCTTCTCGGACCAACGGAAGGTTTCACAACTACGAAAGGTGCTGGGCCAGCAGCATACCATCATCGGCGCTGACGAAACTGTCGCAGCTCTCCTTCCATGAACTCCCCAGTTCGCAGCCCCCAAGCCCTTAAACCCCCAAACCCCTCAACTCACAAACCCTTTTTACATCCAGGCCTCTGAAGTCTGCCGGGTAAGTATGCCGACAAACAGGCGCAACTCACAAACCCAAAACCCCTAGCCCCTAGACCCTCTTGCGCAAACCCCTAAAACTAAACCCTAAACCCCTAAAACTAAACCCCTAAAACTAAACCCTAAACCCCAAACTCCGAACTCCCAAAGCCCCTCAAACGTGTGAGCCTGCGAGTCGAGTGCTGCCTCCTCGCGCCTGTCAGGGGCCATCTCTCACTACACGCACTTACCTATATTTTTTTACACATTTAAATATGTATATATATATATATGTAGACATAGATAGACAGACAGATGGAGAGATAAATAGATATACGTATAGATTCAGATATATACAAGGATATAGAGATAGACATAGATATAAATCTATGCATGAGCATGTATGGTTGTAATTGTGGTTATGCATGGCTGTACACGTGATTCTTTATGGTCTTAGACATGAGACTATTTGCTATGTATTGGCTACGGGATGCTATTCTTCGGACTATGTAGGACCAGATAACTCTCATGATCAGGCCTGCCGGGCTCTGGGCTCGCAGCAGTGAGCAAGTCCTGGAATGGCTATAGCACCAAGAATGCAGGGTTTAGGGTTTGGGGCTCAGGGCTCAGGGCTTAGAGTGTTTTTGTAGGTTTTAGGGTTCTTTTGCAGGTTTTAGGGTTAGGGTTGCCATCTCAAGCAGGAGGTCCTGGAAAAGCCGCCGCTCAAGCGTGGCAAAGGTGTCTGCAGAGTAGCAACACCTGGGCCATGGCTCCTGCGCAAGAAGCACCACGAGCAGGCAGGAATTGATCTGAGCCTGAAGCCTAAGCCCTAAAGCCTTAAAGCCCTTCGAACCCTTTTTGGGCCTAACACCCGAACACTCCGAGTCCTAAAGCCTAGGTGGCTCCTCTTCAGATACTTCTTCTTTGGCCTCTTCGGACTGGACCCAGGCCTGCAAGAGCCAAAGGACTCACAGCTCGCCGAGGAGTCTGTGACATCAAGCGGACATCATTGAGAACAACAACGTGAAAATGCTAGATAACACCCTCCCCCCCCCCCATTATTAACCCCCTAATAGTATGTATTCCCCCCACACTCTATGTTTTGACCACTACGGCGGAGGGGGGATACTACTACAGCCCCTACTGTATAATGGCCGAGTGGCCATACCCATTTGCTCATGTTCCCAAATATCAAGGCGCTCTGCGCTCAAGGCCCCAGCAAAGAAGCCACAGGACAGGCGCTGTGGGTTGGCGCAGCACCGGAATCGTCGTCCGACATTGGGGCCTGCAGCATTGCAGCATTTGACCCTTACGCCAGCAAATCACGCCACTGGGGCTACAGTGCATGAGTCTGTGCTCCCTAAACCCTTTTTGAAGCCAGACTCTGAATATAAACCCTAAACCCTAAGCCCTAAACCCTAAAGCCTAACCCGTAAACCCAAAACCCTAAACCCTGGGTCTGGCATCATCTTTAGTTGGCCTGATTTCTTGACGGTGCGCTCCGCGACCTGGGCTTCGCCACTTCACCACGGTCACGGCACCCATAAGGCTCCCGGAGCTTTCAGGGTTTATTAAGGGTCTGTGAGGGTTTTTTGAGGGCTGTTGATGGGTTTTTTTGTAGGGTTTTGTAGGGTCTGCTCGGAGTTTTCACAGGGTTGTTGAGGGCTTTGTAGGGTTTCAGAGGGTCTGCAAGAGGTTTTTTACGGATTGTTAAGGTTTCATAGGGTTTTATGGGGGTTTGCTTAGGGCTTTATCAGTGTTATAGGGTTTATTTGCAGGGCCTGGGCGCCACATACTTACATCCTGGAGGTCATATCCACCCCCCCCCCCCCCCCCCCCCCCCCCCTCCCAACAAAAAAAAATGGATTCATAGGTTTAGGTTTTTCTCCACCCGCAGGTTTAGGGTTTAGGAAAGGTATCCTTACTATGTCACATGCCATCCAACCCCCACCCCACACCCCCCCATCTCAAGAAAAACGCAAGTCACATGTCAAGAGTTCAAGATCTACTTACTAAACCCTCAACCCTATGATAATCCCTTTTTGCACCAGGGCGCTCACCCTCAACCCTCTTTGAACCAGGAGCTGTGGCATATCTATAAACCCTAAACCCTGCACCCTAAACTTTAAACCTTTAAATCCTTTAAACTAAAACCAACCTGCGGCTTCGGTTGCATTGGGACCCTCTGGGCCTTGGACTGCCTGGCCGCATCGGCACATCACCGAGTCCTCCTCTCAAGCGACTTCGCTCCCAGGCTTTGGGGTTTTAGGGATTTTAGGGGTTCCAAAAGGCTTTCGACTCTCCCGCTGGCGAAATGTGGGCGAGGATTTTTGTTCGAGCGTCGAGACGTGAAACACACCCTCCTCCGGCTCAGCTCAACACATCCCACCACATAAGGGTGTAGGGCTTTAGGGTTTTAGGGCGTTAAGGTTTTTTTAGCACACGTTGCAGAGACTCATTCCGGAAATGAGGGGCTTGTTTAGGGTTTCCGGGAATAGGGGTTCAGGGTTTAGGGGTTCAAGGTTGATTTAAGGTTCGCAAACGCTGAGATGCTCCCCCGGACTCGGGGCCTGAGGGTCTCCAGCCGGTTCCGGCTCCGACTTTTTGCCAATTCCTGCAAGGCGGTGGGATGGCGCCGGGGGGCCCTGAAATCTTGGGGGACCAAGGGAGCCCTAAAAGTTGAGATCCTATACCCTAGAACCCCTCTTAAGGTATGCGGACCATAAAGAGTCGTTTTTAGGGTTCCTCGGAGTCCCCAAGAGAAAGCTGCCTTGCACATCGTTCCGGAAGCGCATGTGCTCGAAGATGCGGAAGAACTCGACGGAGTAGGCAGCGGCCCTGGCTGCGTGAAGTCCCCCAAGGACCCAACATTAACCAAAGACTAGGACGGCCCTTGAAACCCTCTGAAAAATATTCATAAAGATGATCTTCTTAAGCCCACCAAGGGGACGTGTAAACTATCCCAAGGGCCTGCCCAACAAGAGACGCAACTGAACTTCGTCGGGACTGGGTTGCGGGCAGGTTCTTGTTGCCCCGCACCACCACGACATTCTCCTGGCACCCCCACTCTCCAACCGCACGGCTGATACTGAATGCCCAGATCGAAATTCCTTCCCGGGCCTACGGCACCCACAGTCAGGTGTGACAGCTGTCACTGCAGGAACTGGGCCAGTGGGACGTCGTTCGACTCCATGGAAGCTCTTGAGAAGTTCCCACTGCCTACACTTCACTTCTTCGAGAGAACCCTTGCATGACAGCTTCACGGATGTCTCGGACTGAGATGCCGGCCAGAGACGACCTCGACCAAACTCGCTGGCATATGATGGGTGTACCAGTCTTCGAGTCTTGCAGCGAAGAGGCAATCGGCTCGTCGGAGAACATGTCGATCAACAGGACCTTTGTGTGCACGTAGCGCACCTCAGAGAGACAGAGAGAGAGAGAGAGAGAGAGAGAATGCGAGAAGGGCGCTGTCACACCAAGGGTCCTCGCCTCAAGAGTCCTCGTGACAAGAGCCCTAACTGGGGAGCCCCGCGTGCTCGTTGAGCCCTGTGAGCGTCTCCGGTATCCAGGCACCTGAGCGGTGCAAAAGTGGGACAGATAGCGACTTTATGAACACCAATAGAAATCTAACTATACATCCCAAACAACAATGAATGAACAAACTATATATATATATACATACATACATACATACACACACATAGAGATATTCAGATGTTTTTTCATGTATTTACTTGTACCGATATTTCCATTGAGGACGAGCAGTCTTTCAAGCTCCGAGCCGGTCTGAGGCTTGCTGGGTGGAACCTGCCACGGTGCCCCAACCCCCAACGCAGATGCACTTTCAACAGAACATGTGATCATTTTTGAGGTCTTACTGGTAAACTTTAGTTTGAATTGTTCGCATCGTTGTCTATGACTAAGATTCTGTTCTTGAGGCATATGATTGTAATTACGACCGCTAGACTATGAGTATTCCTGCTTGTTCCCTACATTGTGTCGGCTGGGGTGGTAGCATGGTCCTCGGTATGTGGCTGTTTAAAAGGCCCTGGAGATGCCAGCTATGCCGACACGCTCTCGTCACCGGCTTGCGATGTCGATGATGATGAAAGATGATGTGCCGCGACGGAGCATGAGCTGCACGCTTGCTTCTGACATGCATTCTGCGCGCACACATGTGCACGCATAATGCATCTGGCTTCAACAGAATTGTGACGACGGGCCCATGTCTCATATAGTCACGGACGTAAAGAATCGCATTTACAGCTAAGTTACGCAGCCATCTGAACACATGCACAGAGCCACCACACACCAACACATGGCAGAGCATGCCCACTTCGCTTGACCAGCCTCCATATGCGTTCCAAAAGCCACTCGAACATTGGACTTTCCTCGGAGTGTCACTTTGCTTGGACACCAATGGTCCGGGGATCATACTTGGAGGTTCATGGGTAGTCAGAAGTACGGTTCTAAGTATGGCAACTATACTTGCAACTCGTGACCCCATTTAGGGTACGTAAAACCCTACTTATCAGTACCCATGAACCTCCAAGTAGCCTAAGTCGGGAGCTCTGTAGCGCTTGAACTGCCTCGGGCAATGGAAATCAAGGGGGGCTCTCTCCTGCCGAGTGCGAGGAAGTGAAGTGCATGGAAGTGTGGTGCGAGAGGCCTTGCTTGGGATGCTGCTTTCCGTTCTGGGAGCCCCCACATCTCTGGATGCCTGCCAATTGCCCTGGCTCTCCAGCAGCAGGTACGTGGGCACTGGTGCACCTGCGATTCAAAACAAAGCCTGAGTGCGGCTGCTGGCTGCTAGCACAAGTGTCATCTCCTAACAGCGGTGTCTCTGTGGGTTTACTTGGGCGTCGTCCGACTGCTCATCGCCTGCCCCTTCTGATCCGGCTGCAAGCAGCGCCGGTGAAATCTCCCGGCCTCGCCATGCGAGACTGGCAAGAGGCATCCTCATCCTCAACCCTAAACCCTAAACCCTAAACCCGCTGCACATCAGAAGGACGGGACTCCAAGCGGGTGATAGACCAAAAAGACCAGGGCGCCAACTGATGCCAAAGGCTGCGGTAAAGGCCACACTCTGCCTGCAAGCCGCATGGCAGCCCTAAAATCGGGGAAGCAAACCCTTAAACCCTGAACCTTTTGCAACTGGGACTTCAGAACTGCCCAAAACAAGTCCCCACTAATCCCTAAACCCTAATCCCCCAAATTCGGGGAGCAGAACCTTAAAACCATTCGTCGCTGCGGGGTGGCGCCTTGCTTTGAGGATGAGCTGGGCAACGAAGGAGAGCGCATCGGCCCAGCCTCGGAAATGGTGCTGTGAAGTGTCGGCCTCAAGGGACAGGAGGTTTCAGAAGGCCATCTCAAGCAACCTTTCTGTTGGGGGAGGGGTTTAGGATTCTAGGGTCGTAAGCTCTATAGGGGGCTTGGGGTTGTAGGGTTCTGGGTTTATAGGCTTGTAGGCTTGTAGGGTTTAGGGTTTAGGGTTGTAGAGTTGAGCCGAAAGATTCAAGATCCCGGCGCAACCGCGGTGAGAAGAGGACGAGCTCCGCCCAGCCACTCTCCTGAGCCGACTGACGCCGCCAGGCTGAGGCCTGGCAGTAAACCTTTGTTTTTGCAGTAGGGTTTAGGGTTTAGGGTTTAGGGTTTAGGGTTTAGGGTTTAGGGTTTAGGGTTTAGGGTTTAGGGTTTAGGGTTTAGGGTTCAACTCTAAGCCCTAAACAGCAAGTCTGTCCTTAGGAAGCGGAGAGAGGTCTTCGTTGAACTTTGCCAGGTCCTCGAATCGGGATCATGCAAGGACCAGCGCGACATCAAATAGACAGGGCCCACGAATGATACCAAAAGTTGGCCTGTCCCTGAAACATGGCGACAGCAACTTTCCCAAAAGCAGCCGGGTGGGGGAACTGCTGAACCCTAACCCTAAACCCTAAACTCTTCTTTGAGCCCGTGCTGGAAAAAAAGGGTTTAGGAACCCTAACCCCTAAACCCTAAATCCTAAACCCTAAGCCCTCAACTGAAAATGCCAACTGTTTTGCTGTCTGGCCTTCTTGTCGGGATCCTGAGCGAGCATCTCCCAATATGCCACGTACTTCTTGCAGAGTTGTGGCCTTGAGGGCGTGAAAGCTTGAATAGACTAAGTTCATGATAGCCTCCAATATGCTCATTATGTCAATACGTATATATAGATATGTGTACCTGCATATATATATATATATATATACATATGTATGTGTATGTATATATGTACATATGTATATAATAAACATATATGTACATACATATATATATATATATATATATCTATCTATCTATATATATATATATATATATATATTTATCCTTTGACGGCCAAGCGGCTCAGTGAGTATGTGCCCAACATTACTGTGCCCAAAGATGGCTCCCGCAGTGAGGTTTGTAGAGCCAGTCCTGGGAAGGACAGCCGGCACCCCGCTTGCCCCACTTTGGGGTTTAGGGTTTAGGGTTTCGGGTGCATAGTTTAGCACAAGTCTTCAACAGTGTTTTTGACTGACATTACCTGCAGCCATGCAGGCTCTTGCTGAGTCCGGGCTCTTTGCTGAGGCCCTTGCCACACGGACATGCCTCCGTCAGGTTTGGTTAGGATGATGAACTTGTTGTGACCTGGGGGTTTCCGGAGACATGGGTCCCATGGGGGGGTGGAGAACTGAAGGGGCGTGCAGAAAACGAGCTGCCCGCTGATGGCCGTCAGTGGTCTGGTTCGGTGGACAATGCTCCTGGACCGGCTGCCAAGCTGAAGAGCAACAAACTCAAACGGCTAAAGCACACAACACACCCACGATTACCTACCAGACCCTACCAGGCACCTCAACCAAGCAATAGCCCCCTTCACATGTGTTTGTGGGGGGCGATTTTATGATAAATGCTTTGGACGTCCCATCTGCAGAGCAGAGAAGCCACCCACCGAGCTCCGGGCCCCGAGCCCGAGTTCAGCAAGCCGCTCTCCGCCAAAGCCCAGTAGTTCAAGTGCTGCGGTCCCCGCTGGCTCCACACCTCTCACCAGCATCTCGTCTTGCCACGACAGAGTCTGGTCTTCTCTGCTCTACTATATAAACCTTTTTGCGGCTAGGACCTGCTGCACTGCCTGTCTAATATTCACCTGAACCCTAAACCCTAAACCCTAATCCCCAAAGGCAACATTTGCGCCTTCTTGTCCTCTGACCATCCTGCAATCTTCCAGTCCATCACCTTTCGGCTCAAGGCTGATGCCATGATGCCTCCCAGCCCTCGCGGACTCCTCGGCATCCTCTTAAGGCGCAGGCAATCCGCACAGATGCACCGCGCCTGATGCACGAGCAGCTTGCTCCGGCAAGCATTGCTCTGAAACTTCTCCCCATTCTCTCGAAACCCCTTTGCAGGGGCCTGTGCACATACCGGTCATTAAACCTACCACCTACGTACAGAATCCTACCAGTCTGCTGAGCCTCTGAGCGGCAGCAAGCGCCCTCATCACGGGGGGGTAGTGCCTCAGCGCAGGGCCCAGGACGCATCATTAGCACGCATACAAGCAGAGCACATGCTGCAACGTGCAACAATAACGTGGCGACAGAAGAGTATGGTGATATGGCAATGAAGAAGCATGATATCACGTAGACTAGAAGATCAAGTACTTACGGATACAATGATATAACGATGTAAAGGATCTAAGGATATAAGGATAGAATGACATAGCGACACAACAGCATAAACCCTCAACCCTAAAACCCAAAACCCTAAACAGACGAGTTCAACAACCCTAAACCCTAAACCCTAAACCCTTAAGTCCCCCACGCTTCGTAGAAGGCGCATCGCAGCTCGGAGCCCTCCTGGGCCTGGCCGATGAAGCCCAAGAGCGCCTGGCGTCCCACAGGGGTTTAGGGTTTAGGGTTTAAGTTTAGGGTTTGGGGTTTGGGGTTTAGGGTTTAGGGTTTTTACATGCAGCTGATAAAGGGTTTAGGGTGCCCGGCGCCTCCTCCAATCCATTCGAGAGCCACTGCCACTGCTCGGCACTGCGAGGCCCGCTCCTGACAAACCATGTTGGCGAGCCAAGGCAAGGCTATGGAACGATCAGCTCAGACCAACTCAATATGAAGCCTCTGAGCCTCTGAAAGCATATTTATTCCGAGTTCCTAAACCCTAAACCTTAAACCCTAAGCCCTCGACCCTCAACCCCTAACCATCCGAAACCCAGTAAGCGAGAACATCTGCAAGGGCCCAGAATACCTGAGGCTGCAGCTCTCGGGTCCCCGTCGATAGGCGCGCGAAGCGTTGCGAGCCGGCTACGCCGCGGTTGAAGATCACCTCCCCCCATCATCACATCCTGTGCCTGTAAACTGACAGCTGCTCGTTGGGGGTTTACGAAAGTAGGGTACCCGTTGTATACCCCAAAATAGAATAGAATCCCCTTAAACGGAGCCCCCAAAAGGGACCCCCTATTTTTCGGAAACCCCACTTGGTTAATTGAGATTAAAGCAGCCCTACTGCCATCGCCTGGTGGCTACCGCCGTCGGCTGCTGGTGTGAGAACCTCCAGCTCAACCTGCTTCGAGGCAGGCATCGGAAGCTATACCTGGAAGTATCTCAGTATTACAATAATACGATAGAGTACCGTAATCATACGAGAATGTAATCATCGACGATATTACAAGAAATAAAGACAATCAACAAAAGATGCCAAAGCCCGTCCTGCGCAGCTATGTGCAGGCCAGGGCCACTCGTGGCCGGGCCTGGCAAGTTGGTGGCAGCGGAGCCGCAATGGACGAGCCCATTCAGGTTCAACCAATAACTTCCTGAATTGCGTGCACCTGCGAGGGTTTAGGGTTAAACACCCTAAACCCTTTTTTCCTGAACCCTATAAGCCCTAAACCCTAAAATGCGAGTATACAGGGTCGCCTCCCGACGGTGAAGAGTCCACTCCCAGCTGTGGATCGCCGTGGATGGCGCAAAGCGTGTATCTGTACCTTGAGCAGCTTAGGGTTTAGGGTTTAGGGTTTAGGGTTTGGGGTTTGGGGTTTGGGGTTTGGGGTTTGGGGTTTGGGGTTTGGGGTTTGGGGTTTGGCCTCCGACTCTCTGCTTTTGAGTGCTCGACCTCGTGTTGGGCTTCGTGGTGTAGTCCCCTCGGAGCAAGGCAGCGAAACAAGTTTGGCATTCTCAATGCCACACATGGGGCGCCAGCCCCACTTGAACTCCTGGATGGCGCATCTCAGGGCCTGGATGCAAAGGAACGTAGCATGAAATTTTGTAGGCTGCCTTCGAAGACGTGAAAGACATGGCAGAGTCAAAGGTGAGGGGGGCGCTCGTCGCCAGCCTCCTCCCAGAGCGCGAGGCTGGCCAGGCAAAGCCAGGTTCAGAGCTTCTGACTACCCCCCTCTTCTTCTTCTCTAATTCTTCTTCTTCTTCTTCTTCTGCTTCTTCTTCGTCTGCCTCTTCTGCCTCTTCTGCCTCTTCTTCTCTAATTCTTCTTCCGTCTCTGCCTGTCTTCTTCTGCTCTCTCTCTCTCTCTCTCTCGCTCTCTCTCTCACCCCTCGCGTACTGATACACAAGAACACAAGAAACCGCCATTCGACAGGCTTAATCACTCCTTAAGTGCGACTCCACCCGGCACCCCACTACCACTGTGGCGACGGAGGCTGACTGCCATCCCTATACGGTTTTTTGCCACCCGACTAGCCACGGCAATGCGGGGTGCAAGGTCGGAACTTAAAAAGAGAACCGGTACTTCCAGGTATTTAAAAGGCTACCCGGAATACTCGCCCACAGGGGCAATCAAGGTAGGACATCGTGGTTGGATGATAAAATGTTCGGTGGGGGGGGGGGGGGTTGTGTGTTGCATCAACCCCAACCCGTAGGATCCCCAGGAATGCACCCCAACCCCAACCCGTAGGATTCCCAGGAATGCACCCCTCCCCTCCCCCGTATTACAGCGTAGTCGACACCTTGGCCTATACGGTTTAGGGTTTAGGGTTCAGGGTTTAGGGTTTTTCCTTCCCACCCGTGTCGCATGCGTGTACGGGTTTAGGGTTTAGGGTTTAGGGTTTAGGGTTATACCACTTTCAAAAAGGCATGGGCTTGCGCCACCCCATAGGGTTTGAGGTTTCATGCTAAGGTCTGATGGGTAAAGTGAAGCGGTTCGCAATACAGTCGAAGTATTGCCGCACATGGACAAAAAGTGGCAAAGTGGTTCGTAATAATGGCGCAACATGTTGCTGAAACTCGAACAACCAACTAGTCCGAAAAAACCAACTGCCGAAATTATATTAATTTCAAAACCCAAATTAGGCAAATGACGTCGCGCTAAATATGAAACACGAAATTAGTGACGTCGCGCTTAATTTCAAAATTGAAATTAAGGACGTCGCGCTTAATTTCGTTTCCGAAATTAAGCTCCAGGGTTTACACATAGCCCAGCCACCCAAACTCAGGGCCTGACGGAACCTAAAACTCTCAGCCCTGCCCTAAACTCACTCAAACCCTGCAACAACCTATTAAAAGGAGCCTACCTGGGCCACCCTGAAACAACCCTACAACGACCTTGAAACAACCCTACAACGAGCCTGTCTGCAGCCCAAAACACAATGTCAAGCCGATTTGGGAACAACCTGAGCCCTGTACCCCAAACCTTGCCCCAAACCCTGAAAAAACCCCTATCTGGGCCAGATAGGGTTTTTTTGAGTCTATCTGGCCATATGGGGCCGAAGCAAAGCCAAACCCCATTTTCAGGGCAACCTGGGCTACCCAAACTCCAGAACGCGAAACCAAATTCCAAGCCCCAAACCCAACCAGGGGGTGGGGGAGAGGGGGGGGAGGGAAGGGACTCCAAAAAAACACTATCTGGGCCAGATAGGGTTTTTTTGCTCTGAAAAACCCTATCTGGGCCAGATAGGGTTTTTGAAGCCAATTCCAAGCCCCAAACCCAACCAGGAGGGTGGGGGGGGTGCGGGGAAGGGGAGAGGGGGGGGCAAGGAAGGGGACGAGCCAGTTGTTGCTCAAAAAAACCCTATCTGGGCCAGATAGGGTTTTTTTGCGCAAAAAAAACCTATCTGGGCCAGATAGGGTTTTGTTGCTCTGAAAAAGATAGGGTTTTTGAAGCCAATTCCAAGCCCCAAACCCAACCAGAAGGGGTGGGGGGTGCGGGGGAGGGGAGAGGGGGGGGCAGGGAAGGGGACGGGCCAGTTTTTGCTCAACAAAAACCCTATCGGCCAGATAGGGTGTTTTTGCTCCCAAAAACCCTATCTGGGCCAGATAGTGTTTTTGAAGCCAATTCCAAGCCCCGAACCCAACCAGGAGGGGTGGGGGGCTATCTGGGCCAGATAGGGCTTTTTTGCTCCCAAAAACCCTATCTGGGCCGGATAGTGTTTTTGATGCCAATTCCAAGCCCCAAACTGGGGTGGTGCGGGGGAGGGGAGAGGGGAAGGGGACGGGCCAGTTTTTGCTCAAAAAAACCCTATCTGGGCCAGATTGGGGTTTTTTGCTCAAAAAAACAAAATCTGGGCCAGATAGGGTTTTTTTAAGCCAATTCCAAGCCCCAAACCCAACCAGACGGGGTGGGGGGGTGCGGGGGAGGGGAGAGAGGGGTGCAGGCAAGGGGACGGGCCAGTTTTTGCTCAAAAAAACCCTATCTGGGCCAGATATGTTTTTGCTCCGAAAAACCTTATCTGGGCCAGATAGGGTTTGTGAAGCCAATTCCAAGCCCCAAACCCAACCAGGAGGGGTGGGGGGGGTGCGGGGAAGGGGAGAGGGGGGGGCAGGGAAGGGGACGGGCCAGTTTTTGCTCCTATCAACCCTATCTGGGCCAGATAGGGTTTTTTTGTTCAAAACAACCCTATCTGGGCCAGATAGGGCTTTTTTGCTCCCAAAAACCCTATCTGGGCCAGATAGGGTTTTTGAAGCCAATTCCAACCTCCAAAACCAACCAGGAGGGGCCTCAGGTCCTACAGCTTGTTGGTGCCAAACCAGGTCCTTAATTTGGCTTAATTTCGGATTTCTGACGTCACTAATTTGGCGCTAATTTCAAAATGACGTCGCTGACGTCACTATAATTTGTACAGAACCAAGCCCTCCGGCCCAACCCCGTCCCCATCATGCCACCAGCCTTCACCCAAAAACCCGAACCCTAAAGCCTAAACCCTAAAGCCTACAGCCTAAACCCTAAACAATCCAGCCTTCAAGGCATGGAGCCCAAAGCTCTGAAACCTGATGATTAAGCTTTCAGACTTGAGAAGACTTTGCTTACATGACAGCTTCTCAAGGGGGTCCCGAACCACACGTTCAGTACCCCGCCATTCCGGTTACAAAGTTGCTCGGGGGGGGGGGGGGGATTGCTAATCAGAACGGCACAGTAGGGTTTAGAGTTCCTAACACGTCCTAGCTCGATGTTAGAGGAAGCTGCAAGAACGCCTCTGCCGAAGCCTTGGCAACGACTTCCCGAACTTGCAACGAAAACTCTAGCCTGTTCACTGCGGACCCTCATGACCCGATGTTGCGCTGGAGTCTGATGACTTTTTGCTCTCTGCTTGGCCATCTGTCCGCTGGCTTCTGGCACGCAAACTGCAGCCATCATGTTGGTCGCCCTGAATGCTCTGAGCCCTGGCCACTTTCTGTTGCTTCTTTCTTCACTTCTTCGTTCTTGCAGATTCCAGTGCGCGAGCTGCCAAGGCCTGCAAGCCCTCGACCACCTCCATGCGTACAGCTCGCAGCCTTTCCCTTGCAAAGAGTGGGCGCAAGGCTCCGTCGAAAGCCTGGAGTGCATCCGGACTCTTCCGCGCATCGAAGTGCGAGTTTGCAGATAGGAGCTGTCCCAGTTCTTCAAAACCTTCCTCGAAGGCAAGGAGGGCGAACGGCCTCCGATCTTCACTCGTGTAGCAGGATCTCCCCAAGCGCGCCAAAGCAGCAAACTTCGCGAAGCGGTCGAAGGCTTCTCGAGCGACGAACAGCCGGTCCTGGGTGCACGCGTGTCCAAATGCCTTCCTAATACATGCAGTATCTTGCATGCAGTATCATGTAGTATCATGCAGCATCATGCAGTATCAGAACCTGATGTTGTGACAGCGCATTCTACACTTTTCCGACAAGGCACCACATGGCCCAGGAGCACTTCGCGGTCGCTTGCAACAGAGAACTCGGCCGCCTCTATGGAGATAAAACGGATGACGTCGGCATACAGAGAAACAGGAAAGCCATCTTTCCTGCAGTCACCACATCAATGTGTGAAGAGGCAGCTGGAAATATTGTTTAGACCAACCCCCTCACCCACCCAACGCCCTAATACCCCGCAGAACCGACTTCCTCGCACCCTGAGCATGACTCAAAAACATGGACAACTGCGCTTTGCTACCCACATTTGCCGAGATGGAATTCTGGATTCTGGACAAACAAGGGGAGGAAGCTTGGGCATGCTTAGGCGATTAGGGCCCCCGGTGCTGAAGGGACTCGCGGCAGAAGCCAGCAGCCAACCCACCAAACACTAAAGGGAGAGTGCGCGGATGTGCGCGGATGAGGGAGAGTCACGACTGCGCTGCTGCTGCAAAACATCCAGATGCACAGTTCTGTTGTATAGGTTTCTGGAAAGGCCGGCAAAGCGTCAACCTGGCTGTAGCTATAAAAATGTCAGCCTCACAAAAGCCTGACCCATCAGGCCGTAGCCTGTCCTTTCCACTTTATTGATGGTGGCGGCGACGGCGTGCGCGGGCAGAAGGGTTTTGCAGCACCGAAGCATCGTGGACATATGTGACATGTGTGGGCTGTGCCATGGAGAGTTTCACACAGGGACTCTGATGGACTCTGTGTGCTAGATGTTGCTAAGTGGGTTGAGTAGGCTGAAGGCTATCCAGCCCAAACCATGGCCACAAAGGCTGTGCACAAGGAAGGAACCGAAGTGGCCCATACTGCAACCCTTTTTTGCAGCCGGACTGAGGGCGTTGCCGGAATACTGCTTACCTTAAACCCTAAACCCTTTTTTGAGCACGGACTGGGAAACTGCCGGCAACCAGGGGGAGCATGCTCAACACCACTCCCTTTTTTGCAGCATGCTCAGCAAAACTGCAGGTCTCTGCTTAGAGCTCGAAACTGTGTTGCACATAGCTGCAAGTACCCTAAACCCTAAACCCCAAGGACCCGATCGCAAAAGGCTGGCAACCTTGGAGTGAAGGCAGCCGAAGGCAACGAGCCAGGACAGATGAGTGGAGTCATTTTGAACGAGCGGATCCACTGCCAAATTTCAAACGCCATGTGACCCTGTTGCAAATCTACTGATATACAGCTGGGAGAAGATACGGCTGAACTGATATACGAATACATTGCGATGAAACTATATTAATGCTAAACTCGATTTCGTCGCTCACGCTCGCACACGGTTGAGGTGTATGGGCTTTTGCTGCGCACCTGCCATGCACACCCGCCGCACTGCAGGGTTATCGGTTTGGGATCTTGAAACCCAGTCGTTGGTAGCTTGGGTATGTTTCTTGGAAGCTGAACAAACACGAAGCTCCACAAGAGATGCCTGTAGTTTACTGTAGTCTTGCGTCGCCGTCTGTAAGGTGCACGGCGGACCCAGCAAAGAACGAAAAACGACATGCGATTTTTGACTCGTCCCCAGGGTCGAGCCTGCTGCCGAAGGAGACGAAAGCCTTCCACGCTATGCCGAGGGCTGCAGGATTCGTGTCAGGAGCTGTTGCGAGCTTCGAGGCAAATTCGAACAGGCACCACCCCCTCGAGAAGTAGTGCGGCGATGCCACCGCAATCATCGCCCTTGCCATAAGTATGTACTCCAGAAGGAAAAACGACTTACCCTTTGCTAGCTCAAAGATGTCACCGCATTGTGGCAAGCTCGCTCGCTCGATCCAGAAGAGCAGGTCGCGCGGGTGCAGCTCTCGCTGTCCACGGCACTCCAGATACCTTGTGGGCGCGTCAGCCATGTCTCATGAACTTGGCTGCACTTATTAGGGTAGCTATAAATTAAACTTAGCTACCTTACTAAGAATCCCAATAAAACCCAAAAAGGCTAACCACAGAGTGAAGCTCGATATCTACGCCACGTGACCGAAACCCCCTTGCAGCAGCCATGTGAAGCCTGGAAGCCTGAAATTTACTTTGGCCGGTATGTTCACTTGTCACAAGCTATTCAGCCGTTGTTATGAAGAGGTCGTTCGAGTTTGCATGCTCTTGATGACGCGCTCGTGTTCTGAATAAGACATAGCTGCAACCCTCATGATGCTCCATTCGGAATTCAAGGCACACCGATTTCGCCTGAGCTTGGGCGTACCAGTCGCGGGCATCGGTGAAGATTTCCGGCCGTCCCTGCTGCTGCTCCGCGGAAGGAAGGTAGGCCTCTTCCCCCGGAGCGGCCCCTGCACAGTCCATGGAGCACCAACACTTTTTCCGGATAGTCAGACCAGACTTACGAATGACAAAAACAGCCCTCGTTTGTCCCAAGCCCGATTACAATCAACAATCTTGGTCCCTAATCCTTCACCAATGGTTCTACTAACTGGCATGTGATTCGTTGGCATGAACCACATCCCAAACAAGCTTGCTTCTGTGGCTACAGTAGCCTGATCCCAGCAGCTTTACTGCAATAACAACCCGGCACACGAACGTGTCCGCACCTCTCCGTGCGTCAGCTTGCGCAGGCGGCTCCCAGGCGTAGGAAATGAAATAGAATCCCGCATCATCCGCAGCTTCAGCTTCGAATTCGTAGGCTTGCGCTTTCGAATTGTAGTGGTCCGATGCCTCTAACTCGTGCTTCGTCTGGCGCAGGAATTCGCGCACAGAACGCTCGGAGTATGCGCTGACCTGCTTCCGCACTGACTCAGAAACCTCTTGTTTCTCATTCCCTAAACCCACTACAAACCGAATCCACGAAGGCCCTGAAGGTCCCGTTGCACTTCCAACAGGTGTGACGCAGGCACCTGGTCCCCAGGAACGACACGCAGCAGGGCCAGTGCTTGCCCAAAGTCGGTGCTGCTCTGCTCGGGTAAGGTGTGCAGTGGGCAGCTGTTGTCGGAGGGGTCGCACATGATCCGAGAGGAAATCCGAGCTTCCAAAGGCTGAAGAGCACAAGCACCATGCTGCAGGTGACACCCAACCTTATGGCACTTAAGCCTTAAGCCTCTGTAGGTCCATAGGTACTTATAAGTCAGCTTAAGTCTCTACCCAGCTCTAAAAGAAGGGCCTCTTCGGGCACCTCGCGCTCGTCGACGACCTCCTCGCACACTTTGAGGGCGCTCAGAGGAAGTTGGGGAGCTGCCGTCCTTTGCCCTTGCAAATTGGGATGTTCCCCCTTCTACTAACAGTATCTAACAATCCTTTAATGGGGATTCCAGTGACCTCCTATTGTAGTCCCTATTAAGGACTGTTAGAATAAGGGGGAACATCCCAACCTTGCATCGTGGAGATATGAAGCCACCAGGGCCAAGGCGACAGCCGGTGAGGGCGTGGTTTCTGCATCTGCCATGCATGCCAGATGGCAGGGCACCCGCAGCAACTCAGCAAACCCAACACTCATGGCCTGCAGAACTTTAACTGCTCAAGTGCCTTCGCTCCATTTGCCACGGCGGGGGTCCCCGAACCAAACCTTGTCTTCAACGAGGAAAACTGCCGCCGGCGCTCGGATGGGGCATGCTTGCCGCGGCATTGGGAGGTGCCCATGTGGAGAGGGAGGGAGGGAGGGAGGGAGAGAGCGAAAGAGAGAGAGAGAGCGAGAAAGAGAGAGAGAGAGAGAGCAAGACGGAGCGAGACTCCTCTGAGAGCGGATCGGTTTCGGCTTCATCTTTCGCCTGACGCAAAAGCAAACCAGGACCAGGCTTCAGAACTGTTTCCTTGTGCAGGTTGCCTCGTTCTGCTCCTCTTTCCTGCCTCCCGAGGGGTCACGAGAGGCTACGTATGGCAGCAAACCTCGTGCTTTTGCCTACGCCTGCACGAAGTCAAGGGTCTTCAACTATCTGGACTGAGGCAATGGCTGACCGCAAACCCAGCTAGACCATCAAGCAAGTGTGCTGCATCCTCGTCCACATCAAAGCCTGGGGGTTTGCATTCGGACTCAACCCCGCCCGAACAATGGAACTTCGGAGAACCTTCTGTCATGGCGGCAAGAGTTTCCAGGCAGCTTAAGGAGGGACCCCTAGAAGGGACCCTCAATCTGATTTGCCCTGTATACATACCTCTTGTAGCCGTTGTAGCCCAGCTGCAGCCGGCGCTGACAATTCAAGAATCAGGCAGGCTCGTTCACCCGCAAGTACAGGAGCTGAGCTGCTCTTGTCTAGGCTTGCGGCTCAGCAGCGTCGACTGGCGGCCGCAAATGGCCGCCAAGCTCAAAGGACCGCTTCTTGAGGCGAACCTTAAGTTGGGTTTAGGGTTTTAGGGTTTAGGGTTTTAGGGTTTAGGGTTTTAGGGTTTAGGGTTTTAGGGTTTTAGGGTTTTAGGGTTTTAGGGTTTAAGGTTTAGGGTTTGGAGTTTGGGGCAGCAACTGGCAGTTGGGCCTGGCCAGACATAGCTGAGAGACCGACCGGCACATGGCCCAAGCTGGCACATGAACCAAGCAAATGGCTATGAGCCAGCTAAGGACGGCCTGAAATGGCTGCGAGGCGATGCATCCTCAAGAGTGGCGTCGCATCTGCTGGCAGCAGCAAGGCACACAAGATTGAAAACTTGTTCCACGGATCTGAGCATGGGCTACACGCCCTCAGCTCACGCTGACCTTGGCTCTGTCAAGTGATACCCGAAGGATCCTCGAAGGAAGCACACAGGCACGCCGGGGACATGGCGTCCTTCCAGTCGTAGGACGAGGCCAGCTCTTCCAAACCGGCTCGTCTGCATGCCGCAGCCACGGAGCCTGCGGCAGGAGGCATGGGTTTGTTGAGGACTCAGCTCAGCTACAGGAGGCCAGCAAAGGACCATTGCAAGCCGGGGTACTGAAAATGAGCTGCTTTGGCTCGGTCTTAACACTCTGCATCTCAGCCACAAGATCCTCCGACAGGGACGCGTTCCAGGACTTCTCCCCCCAAGCTCAAGAGGCTTCACCACTACTGTGCGGTAGAGCTCTTCATTCTAGGGAAGCTCTTTACACTACAAAGGGTGCCGTAAGTTTTCAGAGGGTTGCCCATTTAACCTCTGCATTCCCTGCAAGCAGTCCAGAGCAAGCTCCCACTGGCCAGACTCCTCGCAAGACTGGATGGCATATCCTCAGAGGGCTTCTATTGCCAGAACTTGTCAGATGATCTTAGGGTTTAGGGTTGGGAGGTTCTCCCTTGTACCAACAGTCCTTAATTGGGATTATCATAGGGGGTACTACAATCCCCCAAAAAGGACTGTTCGCATAAGGGGAACATCCCAAGTTTCGGGCTTGGGTTTTTTGCCACCTGCCCAGCACACTCACACACTGTTGCATAGGTTTAGGGTTCTGCAGCACCATCACCGAAGAGCGAACATCGGGCGCCACATTTAGGGTTCAGGGCATAGGGTTTAGCTTTGTTTTTGGCGGCTTAGGGTTGTGTATTCTTCGTGAACCACCCTGAATGTATTCCGAGCATCTGTAGGTCATCAGATTCGGGATCAGCTCCTCCTCCTGGAGCAGAGGGCACAGGGGAAAATGTGTCCAAGCATTCCTTAAAATATGCGACAACATGATACGAACCCCCTAAAGGCCCCCTGCTCCCTCCCCCCTCCCCCCCCCCCCAAAAAAAAAAAACACACACACACACAGAGAGACAGAACACACAACCCCAAACTGGAGAGGAGGGGAGGAGGGCAACTTGCGCGGGGGGGGGCACCTGAAGCTCGGCCATGAGCACCAGGGCCAACTCGAGCTTTCCCGCTGCCGCGCAGGCGCTGAGGGCCGCGTTGTAGGTCCTGGCACCGGCAAGCTCATGGGGTTTCCTGGGGGTTTTTACATTAAAGGGGGTACAGGGCCCCAAGCCACCTCAAAGAGATGATGTCACAAAATAAATGCTGGGGGTTTGCAGGGACAGAGGGAACTTCGTAGCCTAGCTGATACTCGTGAGCCGAAAAAGCAGCCTGCGCCACCGTGCTGTATAGACATGCCGCCCAAATTCTTACCAACATCTCTTCAAGCCAGCACGAAGGTCGTCTGAGGTTCGGTTGAAATTGTTTGGCGTGATTCCGCAAGTTGGGGTGGTCTTCTTGGAGATTGCTAAAGGAGGAATGACAGTATGCGTTGGGGTACATTGGACCCCCCTCCCCATTTCAGGAAACACTGGCGTAGCAAACGCGTACCTTGCGCAGGCGCAATCGCACTTCCTGGCCTGATGCTCGCACCCTTTGCTTTCCGTGCATCCTCGTCCAAGATTGACAAGGAATGCTCCTGGGCATGAAACGCTCAAAGCATCATCCATCGACGTCCCGAGCATGCTCCGACATGTAAGCCGGCGCCGGCTGGGGCTGGCGCCCACTGCGTTGCCTTGGCGCACGCGCTGATCGCAGCCTGGGGGGCAGCTTGGAGCATTCTAAGGGGCGACGTGACCCACGTTTGGACAGCTGCTCCAGAGCACTCTCAGCAGCAAAGTGCCAGCAGAAGTCACAGCAACAGCTCCGGGCCTCCTTTTTCAAACGTGCACATCTACAAAATATTTGCAGTCTGATGACGGGTCACGACGGTCAAGGTCAAGGCAACTGGGCAGCGAGCCCGTAGCCGAGTACCATGGCTAGCTACAGCTGACATGTTGCAACCGTATGCTACAACCGTACGAAGGGCGAAATCTTCCTTTCGGAGTTCTTCGTGGCCCAAACGAACCCCCAAAAATTCGGATCATATACCCTGCTGCTACTATTATCCCATGTAATCCCTCTTGGGGCATATCAGTGCCCTAAGCCATCATAAGCCTGGTGCCGTGGAGAAAAAATTACTCTGGCCGCCACCGACCACCGGGGGCGGCCACTAGGGCATGGGCTGCGCTGGACACTTCATGTCGCACGAATGCCCTGCAACACTTATCACTTGGGATGTTCCCTCAGCATAGGGAGTACTATCAACCCAATTAAGGACGGCTAGTAAAAAGGGGGAACTCCCAACTTATCACTTTAAGACACTTATACAGGTTGGTGGCATAAACGCTTTGTCTCCCAGACAGGTGCTCTTCACCATTGCACAGGAAAGCAAAGAAGGGTCTGTAGGACAGAGCCATCAGTTTCTGCACATCTTGCTGTCCGACATGAAGACTCTGAGCACGTAGCTCTTCGAAGGTCGCATCATCATGTCACATCCACACGGAACTCACGCGATGACGCCTCATGCACGTCAACAATTGCGTTGCCATCAACGTGTCGCTCTGGCCCATCTGATCCATGTCTGCGTAGACACTATGAACCCATTCTCGTACCTATAGCTCATGGTTGGGATAGCAACGGATAGTAGTACCCTTATTGAGTGTTAAGTACCCTTAAAAATCGTAGGAAAATGTTCCCCCGCTCTGACCAAGTGACCGGCTCTGAGTCTTGAAAGCCCCTGCCTCGGTCCAGCGTGGACAGCTCCGGTAACTGCGCTGCAGACTCGACTTGCTGCCACTGCTTGGCAAAGGAGGCGAGGCCCTCGAACTCCGTTCCTTGCCTCCTGTGGGCATGGAGTATGTCGTTCTGCTGGCTTGGCAGATGAGACAGGCCTCGTTCTGTTCGCCCTTTCGCAATTCCCAAACACGTACCCGGAGGGCAGCAGGAGCATGGGGCGTTCTTGGCAACCAGGCGCGCTTTCTCCCCTCTTCGGCGCCCCTTCTCCTCTTTCATGGGCTCCTGGGGCTCCGCCTTCTTCGGGGAAGGCGAGAAGAATGTCCAGCTCATGAAGCTGCCCTGCTCGGCCCCCTCGGGTGTCGGCTCGGAGCTCCCAAAGTCGAGCAAGGGAGTCAGGGGAGACCGCAGCCATGCCATGCGGGCCTAGAGCCTAACGTGCTTATTCTGAAGCACACGACTTCCTCTCTGTCGCAAGGCCAGAGAAGAAGGTGGGCCCAAAAAACCTACAGTCTGGATAAGTCCACCTCTCCCTTTTTCTGGGGTTCACGATGCTTGTGTCCTTGCCCCGCCACGCGGATAAAATTCCAAAAAAAATGGCTATGACTCTGTGGCAGTACTGAACCAACTGCATCATTCTGCTAGACATTCCACGTGGTCTACTACAAACAGTTGCTTTTCCATTTGGCAATCCTGCAATATAAGCAAATCTAATTCCTTTCAGCACCATTGGGATATCTCCTTGTGTGTCTGCAAGCTTGTGACTCTTCATGTTGCCCAGCCACAAGAATTCTGAGCCGCCTGTTCAGCTGGCGACAGCAGTAGAGCGCACCCCACAACGCCAAAAAAAAAAACATCTTATTTCGTGCCAGACTTCTCCACCTCGTCATGCCACAACCTGTATGGCAAAATCCAGCTAACCAGCAGCTGCTAATTGACAAGGTGTTCCGAGGCAGCTGCCGTGCAGGCATACACGTCATGATCGAAGTACGATTGCTGCGCACGTCCTGAGTCCAAGCGAAGACGCCCGGTCGACAACAACAACAGAAACTGAAACAAGCTGCCCCCACTGCTACTCGTATGATTCTTGAAGAGGCATGCATTGCCTCCTTCATGCGCCAAGATTCTCAGGTAGGCTATTGCTCTTTGCCATTGCTGGCCCCATCCTCAGACATTGCTTCCACTACGCTGTGGAGAGCCGAACAGGAAGAGTGCGGCCGTGGTCAGATGTTGCCTTGACATCGGCGTACTCCAAAAACCAGGCCAAGTAGCCGCAGGCTGAAATCAGCGTACCGTAGGTGACCTGGCATGCCACAGCTTCTTCTGGTGACGGTAACACACCCTAAAACCTTTAGACCCTGAACCCAAAACCCTAAACCGCACACGAAGCATGGGGTGGCAAGTGTGGCCGAGGGTCTCTGTCTGGTGGCACAGCCTCAAACAAACGCCAGCTTGCTTTAGCCCGCAATATTGGGCAGACAACTCAAAGCAAAGATGAGCAATTTCCAAAGTCCAGGCAAGCGGCCCACCTACACATTTCGGACATGACCCGTTCAGCCGCATCGTAGTCACGGCCCTTCTCACAGGCAGACATGACGGTGTTGTAGGTCATGACCTCAGTTGTGACAGTGAGTGCTGTATGCGAACTCTGCGAACGCTGCGATCAGGAGCTGACAGTGGTGATTAAAGCTTCTTTGAGCCTGTTGTTCTTTGCTTTAGGCTTTGGGGTCCAGGGGGTCCATGAGTTTGGGGTTGAAGACCCTTGGCAACTAGGAGCATTTTTGCCATCCGTCTGCGCTCCACAGCTTCTGCAAAGTGACTAGGGTATAGAGCTTTCTCACTCAGGTTTTCAGGGCCTACAGAGTCCACTTCTTGACCCGGTCTTCAGATTGAAAGAAAGCGCTACGAGAACAGGGCCTGCCATGCGGAAGGCTTTAGGCGGTTTAGGGTTACGGATACTGGGGCTTTCTAAAGATTGAGGGAGGAGCTTCGGGCATTGCCAGTCAGGCAACACAAAGCCATTCTGTTTCACAGAACACCCCCTCGCGATGCACACGTTACAGCCGTACACCCTGGGAAGCCAAGTGCAGTGACGAAGACATGGGCAAGTGGCATCAGGTGTCACGGCGACGTCCTCCATGTCTTGTAAGATCTGCACAGCCTCGCTCTGGCGACCATGCTCTCGCAAGACATCCAAGAGACGTGCGATGACAGGCTTCGGGTCGAGAATACGTACAACATCGTACAACTGCGTGCTCTGTAACAGCTGGTTTGCGTCTGCCTGCCCATGATGCCGCTTTTCTAGAGGGATGGCCACCTGCAGCCGAGAAGCCACTTGCCATGCACCAGCGCCCTTGCAGCTTTTGATGGCGGCAGTATAACCACGTACATCGGCCTGAGGAGAGACGCTTGCAATCCAACTCTCTGAAATCGCTTTCCGCATCACTGCCCACACCCCCAAATGCCTGCAAGCTCTCGCGGTGGCGACCTCCGAGTTTTTCAAGCAATGCCACACCCACTGCCTTCTGGCCCAAGGTAGAGGCCTAGGGAAAGATGTGGAGGCCGGTTGCCCAGCATCTCAGAGAAAATCTCCACGGCCTCCTGGGCGATGGGCCTCCCCCCCTTTTGCTCTTAAAGTCTTATATACAATGTATATATATATATACAGATACATATACAAATATATATATATATATGTATATATATTTATATTTGTTTATATAAGCAGACAATAAATTATTGCATCATATTATCACCGACCCTCTTTTCAAATTGTCCGAACACTTCAGCCCCCACCTGCCAGTGCTTGCCTCTCGCGAAGGCGCCCATGGCATAGAGGAAGTCTAGCTCCTCGGGGACCAAGATGAACCCTAAAATGGCGGGCCATTATACCCCGATACTACTGGAATCCGTACTCAGGTATAAATAAATAAATAAATATATATATATATATATATATATATATATATATATATACATATTATATATATATACATAATATGCCCTTTCCTTCTACAATCCCTCTTAAGGTATACGAATATACCCTGAGATACCTTTTATAAGGTATCTGAACCAGAAAACTCTCTTTTCTAAGGCTCCTCCAACTCGCTGCCAATCCAGCGCATCCTGAAAACTCACGAGAAAGTAGCTCAAAAGAGCTCAGGAAGCTTGTCACAGAGGCTGTTTGGCCATCTCGAGCAGCAAGAGACTTGAAGGATCTCCCACAATTGCTTGAGTTTTCACTGGAACCCGAAAGATGCTTCAGTGTCGTTCGGCCATGTGATTTTAAAGCGTACGTTCCGATCCTGTTGTTCTCGTGCGCGCGAATCGCTGGGCATGAAAGCTGGCTCGCGCCCCGAGAGCTTCGGGCCGAGGTGCTCATCCCAGATGCCCAGGGCATCCTGCCAGGCAGTTCGCTTCGTCAACGCGTTGAGCCTGATCGGGGCTCGCCACCACCTTGAACCTGCCTTCTGACTGCTTTGAACTGCTCCGAGTTGCACGTAGCGGTAGTCACCAGGTTCCTCCAGCAAGTGCTCATCCTCAGACGTGCACGTGCGCAGAACATCCTCTGGAACTCTGAGGCAGCAGGCGTGTTGCTTCCCAAAAAAGGGTTCGGGTGTGTGTTGGGATGTTCCCCCCTTTTTCTAACAGTCCTTCATAGGGATTGAAGTAGGGGGTACTATATAGTCCCTAAACAAGGGGAGGCATCCCAAGGTGGCTAAGTGGCCCGGAGCTTGGCCGCGGCAGCGCTGACTTGCTCGGGGCTGCTCTTCCGGTCTCGGATGGCCCGCACCTGCTCCATGCTCCCCGCTTTTCAACGCAAGACCCGAGGCGGCGGGGCTTCGACGCACTGGTTCCTTATTTCAATATTTTTTCTGATGATTGCTCTGTTGAAATCATCTTATATACAAGAAAGGCCCTGACTCGTATGCATGATTGCTTTCTTTACCGTCCCTCTCGCACCCTCTCCCTCTTGAGGGGGGCACCAGGGCTTCCATGGCAAAGGCGAGGCCGCCCCGAGGCAGAGAGGCCAGGGCGAGAGAGATGCCCAGACAGCCTCGGCATCGACACCCACAAGTCCTTTCAACTGGTAGATGCATGCCCTCAGAGTTTGCAGGGTTGAGAGTCTTATTTTGCCACCTGCCTGGCTGATGGTAACATGTAGGAATTTAGGGTTTAGGGTTGCCCCTTTAAAATGCCCTGCGGCATCACAAGCCCAGCAACATTTCCAGCGCCACCCCGAGGTGGAGCCTCACAGGCATGGCTCCGGACTCCCCAAGCGACTCGCAGAAAAGCATGGGCTTTTTGGCCTTATAATCCCCTAACCAACCCTGTTAAGGTCGTTTCAAGGGACTGTAGGGTATAATGGCTCATAAATAGCTCATGCAGAAGGCAAGCATTCGAGATGCCTGGCCTAGCTTGAAGCTGGCTTGCCGCCGCTCCATGGCGCAGGGCATGAGGATCCGCAAGGTTGTCTGCTCGTCTCTTGCGCGTACCCAATGTCTAGCTCCTTTTTCTCCTCCATCTACGGCACCTGGTGATTATATAGGATCCCCCCTCCAAGGTTCCTGCAAAACGGGCCCTGATGGACTCCACAGCTGGGCACCTCCAGGGAGAAGGGGGGCCGGGGGGGAGGAAGGAGTGGGTAGGCTAGGTAACGTGCCATACGTGACGCAGTTCGGGCACCATGACTATCTTGGTCTGTGCTTGGCTCGCAAATGCTGCGTTCAAGCGCAATCTGTCACTGGCAGCACTTGGGCACAAAGCTGGCCAAAGCTTGCGCAGCGGCGCAGCGCAAAGGGCATTTTTTGATTGACCGGGCGTGTGTACTTGCCCAATTCCTTGGCGTTGCCACTCCCTCCATCAGGAGGTGGATCGTGCAAGTAGCATGGGGGGCCACCCCACAGCGACGACGAGAAATGCTAGAAGTAGAGTCTGGAGAGCCTCTCATCTCCAGATCCCATCTGTACACATGCACGACTACTGCAAGAAGCAGATGCTGCAGTCATCGAAGCGCTTTTGCCCTCTCTGCAAAGGAGGCTTGCCGAAGCAGCGGCAGCGAGCTCGGGAGGCTCGTGGGACTCTTGGCAAGTGCAGGAAGCGACTTGCTCCTGAGGAATGCACCTGGACACTGAAGGGTCCAGAAGATGCACCCAGCATGCATCATGAACATGGTAAGTATGCATCAAATGATCTTCAAAGATCCCTACTTAGGAGCATTTTGAGCTAAACAATCGGGGAGTCCAAGACCTGCCTCCTCTTCTTGCTCCTTCGCCGGCTGGCCAAGGCCTGCAGCGTCGGGTGATGGGTACCATGGTCATGACATCGAGTCGGAGAGGGCATGCGCAACAGGGCTACAACAGGGCTTTCTTGGAGTGGCTGGGGGGGAGGTCGTCCTGCATGCTGCCAGGGGCGTCTACAGAACTCCGCGCTTGATTTTCCTCAACGTTTGGCGCTCTCCGCCCCATTCCAAGGGCTGATGCTCTCATGGAAACCCCATGCTCTCATGCCTCACCTGGCGCTTTCTTCTTCGTCTCCTCTCGCCCGCCTTTTGCTTCAGGGCCTCCAGTGAAGAGGCCCTATCCTGGCCCATGATCTTCGCATCGCATCAGCTCTGTCTTCTCGGAGTCATCAAGGGGAGGAGAGAGACCCTAAACCCTCGGAGTCAGAGGGGGGAGGAGAGAGACCCTAAAGCCTAAACCCACAACGAGGCGCCCTCTTGACGTCTTCTAACACCTCCGTTCTCAAGTGGCGGAGTCCATTCGGATCGGGGCCGCGAGGCCATGAGTCCAGTCCTCATAAGGGTTATACCAATGGCTACCATAGACGCATCGTGTACAAGAGCAGAATACGGAGCATGATTATACCATAATTACTATTATTTATACCGTTGTTACAGTATAATTATAGTATACTTCTACTATACATATAAGGCATGACTCGCAACATTGTGCAACACATGCTTGGCCCTGAGGTCACTGCTACAAGCTTCTCTGCGAAGAGACTGGCATAACGGGCTGCCGCGCTCTTAAACTTAAACGAGCGTGCGGTCCAAGCGACGAGGATTTCTTGTGGTGTCGCCACCAAGTGCCACTGCGGAGAGCCCCCGCCGCAGGAGAGTTTCTGGGTCACGGCAACAGCATGCAACAGCACGCAACAACGTGCACGAAAAGTTGTTTGGGCGCGGAACGGGTTCGTATACGAGAAATGCCCCTTGACAAACTCGCATCAGCCCTGTCTCGATGAATATGCAGATGTTGATTTCGTTTTGTTGCAACTGGTGACTTCTGCCTAGGACTATTTGAACCCACAGCGCGTTCGTCCATCTGATCCGCATCAAACTGGCTGACAGGTCGCGCCCCCGATCGAAAGCAAGGCGTCATCCAGCACCACACTGGCGGGTGGATGCCTAGCATCTCAAGGACCACGGTTGATTTATCGTAGGGTATATATATATATATATATACATATATATATATATATATATATGTGACTCGCTCTTTCTTGCTTTCCTTCGCAGAGCCTTGGAGACTCAGAAGTGACTAAACCACAAATCTAAGCGCATCTGATGGTAGGCAGCCTAGCCAGATCGAAAGGGACGCAGCTGAGAAAGCCATTTTTTGAATGAAGGGGCGCCACCAAGAATGCGGATGAGAGCTAAAAACTCTTGGAGTCTTCGAGCCAAGAGAGAGCCGATTGGAGGCTTAAGAAACGATTTACCCGCTTCACGGGCTAGGAGAGACGGTGGGTTGGGGGTACTGTTGGGGTGTCTTCCTCTCACTCTGCTCTCACTTGTGCTCATCTCCCCATTCTGCTCCCCCTGAGCGTAAAGGTGTCGAGGGGCGCGAGAAGTGCCGGACCGACGGGACCAACACATCCACGGGGCTGCCGGAAGTGCTCACGCAGCTCCTACACCAGGGGACGTAGACTCGAAGGGGCGGGGAACCCTCAATTAGGGGAACCTCAGCATAGGGTTGAGGGTTTTGAGGGTTTAAGGCTTCAACCTCTGCAAGACTAAGAGCGTGGGATTTGTGTGCTTGTGAAGTGTCCCGATGTGTTACACTTTAAAGGCACATCCTCGGCTGTCACCAAGCGAGCCGAAGTGCTTCGCATCGCCTCTGCAAGTCGTGGCATGCCTTGGATTGGCAAGCTCCAGAACTTCCAGCAGATTCCAGCATTTACTCGAGCTTTCATGAGCCAAGGCTTCAGTTCCGACTCAGACGCGCGGCATGAATAAAAGGTCTAGGCTTGTTTTGGTTATTTTCGCGGGGTGCCGGCAGCTCGAAACACGAACTCTTGCCGCAGTTCAAGTGATTCCGCAATCCATGCCGCAGGCCCGACACCCGCTTCGTCCAGGCGTGTTGTACGTTGACCACGGGAGCTTGAAGCCAATGCGCTGCTTGACCGGCCACGAGAAGCTCATGTTCCCAAATGCACGTTGATGCCAATATAGTCTGGTTCGGCATTATACGATGTGAATTCGGCAAGTGAAGCCAACATGCGAAACCTGAGCTTCCAAATTCACCTGGCCTGGGACCCCCCCCCCCCATATAGGATGTCTGCCAAGAAGGTCCTGCAAGCCTTTACTGCTAGTTTAGTTCCGGCACGAATCATTAGGGGTCCTCTGGAAAGCCTACACTTTGCCCCCCAGCTTACGCGGCAGGTTCAAGGTCTCGGGGGATTTTCAGGTTGGCGGGACCGACTTGCAGTGACAGCTACAGCTACACCCCGACTCGACTTCCGGCCCATGGGGTGAGGCGGGCGGCTCAGGGTCGCCGAACCGTCCGAGAAGACAGCCAGGCAAAAGCGCCCTTGACCTGCACGTCAGCGGGGTTGAGGGGTTAGGGGTTTAGGGGGTGAGGGTTTAGGGGTTATAGGGGTTATGGAGGTTGGGGGTTTAGGTCGGCCCGGCTTAAGATTCTCAGACCTTCTGCTGCCGCTATCTGAAGCAGTTTCTGAGTTGGCCTGAGCTGTCCATGGCCACGCAGGCCAGCGTCTTGCAGACATTCACATCATCGGAGCCTTAGGATGCCCGACTGGACAGGTATAGATGTACAGGCATTCTCATCCATTATCCATTGAACCCAACAGAGAGGAAGAAAAGCAACTAAAGGATACTGAAGGTGCAAGTCCCGAAGGCATTCGTCCCCCCAACTCAGCACCGACTGATCGACCACACCGAGCTGTCGCAGCGCCGTCGCTGTTGCGCAGACTCCTGGACTTGTCCCTACTCTCCCTCCCTACACCCTAAACCCCTAACCCTAAACTTGGGATGTACCCCCTTATACTAACAGCCCTTAATAGGAATCATCATCGGGGGTACTATAGTCCCTACTAAGGACTGCTGGTAGAAGGGGACACATCCCAACCCCCAACGCTAAACCCTAAACTCCCAAACCTCTCCTGACCCAAGCGCTAGGCCGGTGTGCGAAAGCCTCAGAAGTAGGAGCAACGATTGATAGGGTTTTAGGGTTTTAGGGTTTTTAGGGTTTTAGGGTTTTAGGGTTTTAGGGTTTTCGGGTTTTCGGGTTTTCGGGTTTTCGGGTTTTCGGGTTTTAGGGTTTTAGGGTTTTAGGGTTTTAGGGTTTTAGGGTTTTAGGGTTTTAGGGTTTTAGGGTTTTAGGGTTTTAGGGTTTTAGGGTTCTAGGGTTTTAGGGTTTTAGGGTTTTAGGGTAGGTGTTTCTGCCCGTGTCCATGCCGTGTTTCCAGTCTTGAAAAAACACCTTCATGAGAAGCCCTGCCTTTCCCCAGCATGGCATTCTCAATTAACACTTAACAATCACAATCATAATCACAATCATAATAATAAGAATAATAATCGTACTAACAATAATAATAGCAAGAATAATAACAATTAAAGTCGTGGACCTGGAATCGCAGGATCCGAGCCAAGCCACGGCGCCGCCAAGGACACGGAAACCTCGGCCAGCTCGCGGAGGCTCTTCTCCTTGCGGAGGCCGAGGGATATGTAGCGACTTCGTGATAGACTTTAAAAAATCTCACTGAGGGTTTGGGGTTTGGGGTTTAGGGTTTAGGGTTACACCGGTGACCATCGCCCAGCTCCGTACCGGCTTGCTGCAGGAAGTGGCCCAAAAGGGCGAGCAAGATCCAGGCGTCCAGGGCCGCGTACTCGATGCTCGGAGTTGGCAGTGGGCGCAGCTCCCAGTTGCTGCCTCTTCGGTCCAAGGACGAACCAAAAGCTTGCAGATAGCAGGAGGGGCACCGGCTGGGGATGTTCCCCTGATACTGACAGCCCTTAAAAGGGATTCTAGTAGGGGGGGGGGGGACCATATAATCACTGTTAAGGACTGTTAGTATAAGAGGGAACATCCCAAGAAACCGGATCTGAACTCAAGATCCGCAAGCCACGCTGCACTGCAGGGACTTGTCCAGGGAGAGGCCCAATCGCAGAGCACACAGATTGTCCAAGGAATGGTTCGGGGCCACAGTGCGCGCAAGGTCTTGCATCTCAATGAAGGGAAAATTGCCGGCGGAGCATCGGGACATCAACCACGGGTAGGAATCCTTGTGAGGACATCTTGCATCACGGGTATGACCATGAAGAGGGTTAAGAAGTGCAACCTTATTAAAAAAAAGAAACAGAACAAAAATGCCTGGATCCCACATCTCAGCCCAAATCATGTCGAATGAGCGTTGCCCCCCCGAGCTTCGGCCATCCTTCGCAGGTCGCCTTCCAGCCCGAAACCGACCAAGATGTGGCCCGCTTCACCTCGTTAGAAAGCACCCACCCCCCCCCCCCTCTCTCCTCTATGTTGCTGCCTTTTTTTTTTTGGGGGGGGGGGGGGGGGGGAAATGCAAGAGAAGCCGGACTTGGGAGGATGCCTCAAAAAATACTCCCTGACTCCCTGACTCCCTAAACCTAACCCAAAATCCTAAACCCTAAACCCTAAACCCTAAACCCTAAACCCTAAACCCTAAACCCTAAACCCTAAACCCTAAACCCTAAACCCAGCTCTAAACCCTGAACCCTAACCCCTATACGCACTTTAAAAGGGGACCTCCGGGCTGAAGCAAGAGTTGTAGCAGGCCAGCAAGCTCCTCTTCGGCCACCGCCAACAGGGAGGGTATGTCCAGCCTTGGATGGGTTTAGGGTTTAGGGTTTAGGGTTTATGGGTTTAGGGTTTAGGGTTTAGGGTTTAGGGTTTTAGGGTTTAGGGTTTAGGGGTTAGGGTTTAGGGTTTAGGGTTTAGGGTTTAGGGTTTAGGGTTTAGGGTTTAGGGTTTAGGGCTGAGAAGATTGGACCTTGGGATGTTAGCCCTCACAGCCCTTAACAGGGATTATGTACGTCCCCCCTACTAGAATCCCGATGAAGGACTGCTAGTAGAAGGGGCAACATCCGAAGCATGACCTTCAGATCATTTCAAAGGGGCAGGTAGGCTGTATCAGCCCACGCCAACTGCAGCAACCTCATCTGCTCGCGGTGCCGGAGAAAGAACACACACACGCACACACACCAAAAAAAAAGGTGTGTATATAGACATAAATAGCTAGTATATAGTATCATAAAAACACACACACACACACACACACACACACACACACACACACACACACACACACACACACACACACACACACACACACACACACACACACACACACCCGCCCCCCGCGAGCAGGCAGGCAGCTGCACCGGGTTCGCCACGTGTCCTTTCCGGTTGCGGGCGCGGCTCGGGGAGCCCTCCTCCCAGGGCTTCCACTCGGCGTCTAGGCCGATGACCCCCTTTTGGGTCTTCAGGCGTTCTTGGAGCAGGTCCAGGCCTTGGGCATCTTCGACGCGGACGATGCGTACCGACTGGGGCAGGCAGAGCTTGGGCAGAGCCGGCGAAGCCGTGGAGGTCGCAGAGGGAGGCCTCAGGCTTCCAGCCTCCTCCATGTAGCCGGCGTTGCCGGCGAAGCCACGCAGGCGGCGCGTCTCGATTTTTCTGGCGAGCTTCAGCTGTCCTGTCGACGTGAGCATGGCGGAGAGGTTCTGGCACAAGCTGGGGACATGCTGGCAAACCAGGTCCAAGACGGTTCCATCTGCAGGTGGCATCGTCAGTTTGCAGAGGATGGCATCCAGAGGCAATCGCTTGTCAGCAAGCTCGAGGGAGGAGCTCGCTGCTAGGTACTCCACCAGGCCAGCCAAACGAGAGCGGTCAGTAGAGTTCACGGCATCTTCGAAAAGAGCAAGAGCTTGATCTTCAGGAATCCGTGGTGGAGAGAAGCAGAACCGTGCCGCAAACTTCACCGCGAGCCGCAAGCACAAAGCCCCAGACAGCCCCAGGGCCAACATTTGCTTCATTGCATCGGCATCTGCTTCAAAAGTCACAGAGCATGCCGATGGGGCGAGGCTTTGTTCCGAGGGCTTGACAAGCAGCTCCAGGATGAAATGCCCATCACTGCGCTGGTGCATCTGGTGCCCCACCAGCCGGGCCAAGGCCGCCGTGACCAGCTGGCACACCTTGCCCGGCTGCGAAGCTTCGGCGCCCTCCAAGGCGGTGCGCAGGGACAGCCGGCGCTGGAACCTTGATGGCTCGGCGCTTCGCCGCGCCGTCTTGGCGAAGAGCACGTAGTCGACCAGATGCTCCGACGTCAGCTCCTCGCTGAGCTTCTGCGGCACCGTCGCGTGGACCCCTGCGGTCTCAAGGCTGGGGGCGAGCTGCCGGGCGGTGTCTGCCAGCCGCTCCGAGTACTTCCTTCGCTGGTTGGACCACTTGCTGGGCGGCTCATCCTGCCCCTGCTGCGAAAGGTCCGCAGAGTTCTTCATTCCCTGAGGTCCTCCCGTCATGAGAGCCTTGGGATCCCAGACCGGGGGGAGGATGAAGCCCCTGGACCTCTCCACCCACACATCCTTCTCCCCCTCCGCCAAAACCAGCTCACACAAGAGGAGCGCCGTGTCCACACTCTGAAAATGCTCCTCCACGTCTCGGCGCACTTTCTCCGGCCAATCTGTCGGTACCGACTCCTGCTGCCCGGGCAGCTCCTAGGTACTGTGGCCCCTTTTGAATCACACAAAAGCCTCTAAACCCTCTCCAGAATTTGAGCACAGATACACCCCTAAAGCTTCGTCTGTGTATGATGTCCTCTCAACCCCCCCCCCCCCCCAAAACAAAACCAAAAGAGGAAAGCATGATTGCAGGGTCCTAGGCTCATCCCCCAGGATCACGGGCGGATCCCCCGAAGCCACGGCCGGGCTGAGCCAGAAAAGCTTGGGGAGCACGGCCAGGCGGGCTCCTGGTGAGATCGCCTCCATGGCCTGCGAAACCTGCGTGGTGTACCAGCCTCTGCACCAGGGTTTTGTTTAGGTTTTGGGTTGTTTTTTTGGGTGTTTTGGCTTTTTGAAGCTTAGGGCGTTTCTGGTCTTTGGGGGGGTTTTAGCTTGTTTAATTGTTTTGGGGCCTAGACCTCGACCTGAAAATGCACCAAAAAGCACAGTTCCGGGGCATGCGTGATACATTCTGCAGCAGTTGGGCTGCGAGGAGCATTTCATGGACATCTCGGACATCTCGCGAATAGTGTTTGCTAAAGGGATGTCGGGGCAAAAAAACTGGTACAGAATCCAGCGAAGGACGACAGCTTGCTTGCACTCCACCCTCCTACAATAGACGATTCTAGTACCTGCTACAAAAGACCAATAGCCGAATTACCAGAAGATGCTTCAATATCTATGCTAGAAAAATCATACCCGAGAATACTAGACTAAGAATGTGCTGGGCAATGAGTTTAGAGCAGGACACCTGTGGCCGAGTCGGCATTGACCTCAGCCGGAGGATCTCGCAGGTGGCGACCCCAAGACCAGAACTCTTCCAGGGGCTTGAAGATGTAGCCTACGGGGTTTAGGGGTTTAGGGTTTAGCGTTTAGGGGTGTCCAAGACAACTGCAACATGCTAGAACGGACGTGGATCAGAGGGAGAGGTGGGAGGGTTCTGTGCTATTTGCTGGCCTTTGAGAAAGTACACGGAGCGAACCGCGACGTCTCCGAACTCCTTCTGCAAATACGCCTGCACCTGCAACTCCCCCAAGATCGTTGAGTAGTGCACACAGCCTCTCCGAATGAATATTTCCGCGAACTGCCAAAGCTTGCACTGCTGGCTCAGCACAGGATTTCTGTGACATCAAGGCCAAGCGACGGAGGCACTTCTCGTCGAGGTGATCTTTCTCCTCGCCTCCGCCAGCCGCCACGCCAAGTTCCTGAGATGCAGAAGGGGTTTATGGGTTTAGGGAATAGGGTTTAGGGCAGGTACAGATCAAAGCAGACTGCATCTATGTGGCAATTGCTCTCCATTTGCTTCCGGGCATCTCATGCAGGAAAGGGCCGACATAGGAGCCTTCGGGGAGAGAGAACGCTCCAGAACAAAAATCTGCACTTCCAAGCATTTCCACAACACGCGGAGCCTTCCTGGAACCACGAATCGGTTTCGTGTGTACTCTTTCTTGTGTATGGCACGTCAGTACCCCTAAACAGGACCCCTTCTTAAGGGGTTACAGGCGATAATAGCCCATCCTTTAAGGAACCCCATCATCAACCCTAAACCAGGGCCCCTTTTTAATTAAGGGGGGTTATAGGTGATAATATAGCCCATCCTTTAAGGAAGGACTCGGAACATGCGAGCCGCTTGCGCAGGACTTGAGCTTCGGCTCCGCGTGCGACGCGTCCGCGAAGAACTTGACGGAGGACTCGACGTGAAGAGCTTCACCAGGGCGCCTGAGTCGGGTGCATCGGTGCCACTTGAAGGGTACTATGGAACCCTCAACCCTAAACCCTAAACCCCAAACCCCTAAACCCGAAACCCTGAACCCTAAACCCTGACCTGAGCCCAGCACAAGCAGACCAGCTTGAGCTGTCCGGCTGTCTGCCTCCCAGAAAGCAGCCCAAGAGCTCCATCAGCTGGGGTTTAGGGTTTAGGGTTTAGGGTTTAGGGTTTAGGGTTTAGGGCAAGTTTAGGGTTTAGGGGGGGCTTCCGGACACTTTGTCCCCTTCCTTAGGTTCCGAAAGTAAGCCGCAAGCCAGGATTATCGTATGTTTGGGGGGGGGGGGGGGGTAACGAGGGAAACCTCGGAACTCCGAACCATTTTGTGTGGAAAGCCCCCGCTCGCGAAGCCTGGACTGTGCACCAGTGCTGAGCTGCACGGCCGACAGCGTTCTCTTTGTGTTCCAGCCTGGGCCTTCCTGCGCAGAGCACCACAAAGGACTTGGGGCTTAGGGCTTAGGGTTAGGGGGGTCTAGGGTTTAGGGTTTAGGGTTTAGGTTTATAGAATTGAGGTTGAGGGGCAGTTTAGGGGTTTAGGGTGTTTGTTGGCCACCCGCCGAGCTGACACGCTTAGGGGTTTTTGGGCCAACTGCCAAGCAGAGCAGCCACACACAGCCACTCCGCAGGTGTAGCTATGCTGGATGCGACGGACAAACAGGGCTTTTCGGGTTGGAACCTCAAAAACCCTTCTAAACCCTATAAGGCCCTAAACCCTATAAGGGCACAGTCTCGCGCGTTATCTAGTCCTTTGCTTCGCTGCTTCTCCCATCCCCGAGTTGCCTCCAACCAAAACTGTGTCAGGGCTGCGGCGTAGAAACCTCGAGTTGCTTTACGCTCCATTTTGTTTTTTTTTTTTTACGGTTTAGGGTTTAGGGTTTACGGTTTAGGGTTTAGGGTTTAGGGTTTAGGGTAGGGCTTCGACGGCACTTTGAGGGTTTAGGGTTTGCCGGTGTTGATTTTTACGGTTTAGGGGCTTAGGTCTTTTAGGGTTTAGGGTTTAACGGGGCTTCGAAGTTTCGGCCCTCACCCTGGCACGAGGCAGGCCTAAGGGTTCGGCATGGGTTTCGACTCGCACGGTTCAGGGTTATAGCCCCAAACCCTTCTGCAACTGGACTGCGGACAGGTGCCAGGAGAAGAGCCCACTAGGCCTCGGCTAAAGCCCTGTACGAAACCTAAACCCTGAACCCTCTATATCCCTAAACCCAAACACTTGTACCCCTAAACCCTAAACCCAAATATCCCTGAACTCCACACCCTTGTATCCCTAAACCCTGAACCCTAAACCCTGATATCCCTAAACCTAAACACTCCTGCAAGCAAGGAACCGAGCCGCTTCACGCCGGACTGCGATTCCAAGTTCTCCAGAAGTGCCTTGGGATTCCGGTCCAGTCCTGCCAGCCAGTCCTTGGCCCCCCGGCTTTCCCCCCCCCCCCCCCCCCCGGTTTGGGGTTTAGGGTTTATATGGGGTTTGGGGTACCTGTTGCATGCTTTGGGTTAAGGGTTTTTTGCGAGAGGTCTAGCCAAGTCTAGCCACAGCACTGCGGGGGTAGGGTTTCGGGCTTATCGGGTTTAGGGAGAATGGAATGCCCGTATGTGTTGACATGTATGTTAAGTCCTCAAGAGAGGCCCGAAAGCACAACCCTAAACCCTAAACCCTAAACCCTAAACGGGCTATGAGACAAGCTTCAGCTGTGGCCTCGTCGGCAGAATCTGGGAGGCGCAAGAGTTCCATACCTGCCTTGGCACACAAAAGGCAACCACAGGCAGCTGGCAACAGAATTATACCTCAAACCCTACAAACCGAGTTACCCTAAACCCTAAACCCTAAACCCTAAACCCTAAATTTTAAAGTACTACATCACAACATGTGTGCTAGTCCCGCCTGGTCGGAAAGCACCGGAGGCGCCCGGATGAGCCATGAGAGGTCCCGCACAACCTGATGCAATCGCTCCCCTCAGAGAGCCCAAGACACCATAAATTGAGGACTATTCCTTAAACCATATAGGGATCCTTAACTAAGGGGTATTATACTAATACACCTTGATTGAGGAACTTTCCTTAAACCACATTAGGGATCCTTCGCATGATTGAAGGTGATATTCCTTAATTTTGACTTTCCGCAGACTGAACACTTGTGGGGAAGCCCTTTTTGAACTGGAAACTGCTTCCTGCCAGGACTGAGGCCTCCGCCGAGTTTATCAGAGACCAGGAGACACACCCTAAACCCTAAACTCCCTCCCTCGGCCGTCTTTAAGCCTCTTTAAGGGGCGGGGAATCGGGCATTGCTGCCTTTCGGTTGTAGCCACTTGCGCATCTCGGGCTCATGGCGCTGGCAAGAGCACGCCATGATATTGTATTGTCAATATCAAGTCAGCAGAGCACTAAGTATAGAATTCTAGTATTGTGAAATATTTTAGTATTTGGTATTGCTAGATTGTCTTTTGTGGTGTGCTCTGCTGCTCTCCAGCTTGAGGACTTCCATGGGTTTCCGGCATCCACTCCTTTGTCCGCTGTTGGTATTACTTACCAGGCTGCCGGCAGAAAGCCCCTGCACTTGAGCCATCATTCATTGACAAGGAACTTCTGGACCTGCCCCCAGACCCCGGATGCTTCCGCACTCGCGGCCCATGTTCTACTGCTGCTTCATCACGGGGATTTCTGCAATTGGGGGCGGGGGGGGCGGGGGGGGGCACCTTATTTGGGTCCTTATTGTCAGGGAATCCTACTATTTGGGGGTTACATATTCGGGGTCCCTTATTTTCGTAAACCCCCACATGTTTCTGCTGCAGGCTTTGCCATGTTTTGGGTGGGCAGAGCAGCGCTTGCCTGGAGGCCAGGACACAATCGCGCAGGTCCTCCACGGTGGCATCGCCACCTTACTTCTGGCAATGATGTTGCATGTACAGCAGCCAAATGCGCTCATAACGAGTATAATTTATTTTTTTTGTATTTATTTATTTTTCTATACATATTTATATATAAATCATAAATCAGAAATCACCACCTGCAGGAACTAGCTGTTGCCAGGGTGCCCAAAGACAGGATCACAGGTCTCTGCTGATGGCCCGTTCTGCGCAGGGTGTCCAATGCTGCACGCTCCAGGATGCCCCCCAACCGCACTGGCTTGTCAATGCTATCGATGATGCTGCGCAGAAAGACCTCGTGTCATTGCTGAAGAGCATAGTATCTCACAGTCACATACGGGTCGGTGCTCATAGAGGGGGGGGGGGGGTGCCGCAAGCAACCAACACTTGCCTGTTCCAAAAGGCCTTCACAGTCTAAAAGTGCAGCTTTTGGACGAAAGGCACGAGTCATGTCGGAGATTGAGTTGGAAAGGTGGAAACGTGCCGACTGCTTGTGGCAGAAGGTCATGTAGACAAAGCTGGCATAGCTCGGACGATGCAAACCATTGAATAAGGGAAAACAGCTCCGGCTGAGAGTGAGCATCGCCGACAATGCTACAGCACAACAACGGGTTCAAATGCTCAGCCTGCACTCTTGCGCTGACACGTGGGGCCATGACCCGTCTGGCACCACGACCAATAGTGAGATTAAATGGCGAAACTTACTTCTCCAACAACCAGGGAAAGAAAGGTGTAACTTGATCATTCCTACCAAATGAGGCGACCCAAAAAGTGTAAAGTTCAACTCTTGGCTAAGTAAATTGAGAACCTCAGGGTCAGCAAGGTGCAGGTTGGCATACGCGGGTGTCGTCTCTTAAAGAAGAATTAGGGGGTTTCCGAAAATGGGTTACGCCTTTTAATACCCCAAATGGAATAGAACCCCCTCAAAAAAACAAAGTACCCTATTTTTTCGGAAACCCCCCATTTTTGTTCAGCCAGGGCGATGCCCAGCGAACACTCACGGAACGCACAGCGAGCGAGGGCAAACCAAAGCCGTAAGTTGGAATGAGCTCAGAGAGCTCACACGTCACGCTTGAGCGAAGTGCTACGGCTCCCAGCCCTCCATCCCATGGTACAACTCCATCCCATGTCGTGCCACCGTCCAGGTGTTTTATCTAGGTTGCCCTAGGTTGCCCTATAGACGCCTAGATGCCCAGATGTACAATGGCACCGTGTTGCACGAGATGGGCGGGTTGCTCAAACAAAGTTGGGGGGGGGACGCTGCCAGCCGCTGCCAAGCTGCCAGGAACGCAAATCATGCGGCAGCGCGGCCGCCTCTACGCCAGCGGTGAAACCTGCCTTCGGTTGAACGCCTGCCTTGCCCAGCGAGCGACTCGCCTGAAGCCCCATGGCCCCCCCCGCTTCTTGCTGGCGCGGGCGTCGAGGAACTCTTCTTCTGACGCCTGACAACATCGGCTCTGGGCACCTACTGGAAGGCGCTGAGCAGGCATGGCAGAAACTGTAGCCCATACACATATAGATATATATATATATGTAAGAGGCAAGCAGAGCAACTAAAGCAACAGCATCACAGAGCCCGCCTGAAACTGCCAAAGGTCTGTTACATCTTTTTGCTGGTTCAACTCCTCCAAATACTCCATGGCATAGAAGTGGGCCTGCCGCTGCAAGTCCGCCGCACTGCTGATGCCCTTGCAAAAGGAATCCACGTGCAGCGCGGCAATTCTGCTCATGCTGGTGCTGACGACATCTCCAGTGTGGGACCAGGTAGTCCACAGGCACATTTCGGAGATCCAGACTCCAACTGGAACATCTTCGGGAGCCTTCTCCTTCTGTAGATAGCGCAGGGAGCCATGCAAGCTGTAGAAGCATGCGTCGGCGTCAGCGCCAAAGCAATACACAAGATCGTCTTCGCCAGCATCCAAGATTGCCACCCCTTGCATCGCAATGTTCTGCAAGACGTGGCCTTCCTGGAAGCTCAAGGCCCGTCCAAGAATCTGGCCTAGGAATGCTTGCTTTGACAAGCAGAACTGGTACCTTGCGAAGTGCAGCTCGGCTTGCAATGACTTGGAGAGTAGGTTGAGGATGTGCGGCTGCTCGTGGGACAGCGACTGCGTCTCGTAGTATGTGTACGAGAGAAACCGTGTGATTCGCTGGCTCAGGCTCGGTGAGACACTGTTGTGTCGCAAGAAACGGCGCAAGAGACCAAACTGGTGCGTCTCCTCCATCCTTCTTCGGTGTAGGGCACTCACAAGTGATGTCATGGAGCTGATAACCGTGGACGAACTGATGAGCGAGACAACTCCAACGACAATTGTATAGAGTCCCTCGGTTTCAGTGACAGCTTCAAGTTGAGTGCCTCCAATACCAAGCTGGGCGAACGACCACCGCAGGCTGGAGGTGTATTGCTTGAAGAATGTGTCATCCCGAAGGCTGGAGGCAGTGAGCCAGGTACGTGCTTCAGGGTCATATGAGCCGAGGCCATACCAGCAGCATGCGATCATATGCTCCAGCAAGAGCATGCCAAGCATGACCAGCAGCAAACTGAACTGGATGGATGCCACCTGAGACTCGAAGTAATCTCGCAGAAAGGCCGAGACGCGAGTCAGCTTCCCAAGGCGAATCAACCGAAAAAGCCTCAGGAACCGAAGGATGCGTGTGGTGGAAGGGCCATCGGCCACACTCTCATCCGAAAACCAAAGCAATACGTCTGTGAAAGTCACTGCAAGGTCTGGGACAAACCATGAGCAAGCGTAATGGCGAGCAATTCGGCCATAGTCTTGCACGAGGTTGCCTTTGTCCAGAAACCCCGTCAAGAAGGAGATGGGGATGTCGGTACACCAGTAGAGAAGCGCAACCTGGGAAATTGCAAGGAGGGCCGGAAACATCGAGAAAAGGTTCACCTGAGCCAGCTGGAGTGGTATGACGACTGCGTCGTTCATGAGGAAGAGAATTCCGAAGAAGTCCCAAGCATTGCGGAAGTGGCCCGTGGGACTCAAGACATATGGCACGGGAGCATCCGGAACGACTTGAAGTGATTTCGTAACCTCAGCCGACAGGCTTCTCCGGCGGGGCATGTGTGATCTCGACCTCTCCACCCAGCAAGCACGCGGCCAATAGCCCGGAAAGGTTTGGGTGGGTTCATGGCTTTCGCTGAACCCAGCTGAAGACTCTGCAAGGCATGACGGGCTCTGCGCGGAGACCGTCTGAGGTGCGGCCGGGACAACTGGCGACATCTCTCCACAGAAGCTGTCGAGATGGCCGAGATCCCTGGGCAGACCTTCGTCCAAAGCCTGCAAGGGCGCCATGGCTTGCATCAAGGGGATCTCATCTGGAGCGCTCCTGACCCTCACCGGAGGGAGGCAGGAGTCCTTGCTGGGAGCCCGCTCCTGCCGCTCCTGTAACCTGGGCGAAAACTCCACACTTCTTGAGGGCGAGCTGACCGGCCAGGCCTTCTTTCCCAGGTCGGCCGAGACGACACGTCGACTCCTCATCTCCGCGTCGTAGCACTCGCCAAGCTTCCGATGGAGCTCCCAAAAAGACTCATGCTGCTCTCGAGGTGCCCTCCAGGGGAGCTGTCCTGAGAGTGGGACACTCTCCAAGAGCTTGCCTGAGAGAGGAGCACTGTCCATAGCCCGCAGGGAGTTTAAGGTCAACTGCTTCTGCATTGTGCAGGGCGGCTCAGGGCAAGGGCGCAGAATCTATGACTCTTTGAATATGTTTGAGCCTCCCGAGGCCGAAACAGAATGCATGTGCGACTGCATACTGTGCTGACACCGCCCGCGGCGCAGTGACTCGTGCCGACTCGTGAAGACTCGTGAAGGCTCCTCATCGCCTACCCCTACTCTTGGTGCACTTGCCGGCCGGACCGGGCACATGACTGCAACCCAGCGGCAACATCGTAGGAGGGTGTGGTGGACTCGGATGAGAGCGCGAAGAGGAGCTGCGGCGCTCCGGCTCCCAGCTGCCGGGCGACGAAGGCCATGCGTGCGGCATCCCAGTCAGCACCGCCAAGGCTTGCCAGCTCCCTCCTCCACATATCTCCACATCTTGCCAAATTCTTGCAACATGTATGAACAGATTGCTATCAGGTGCAGTGCAAATCTTCGGAACACTTTGGAAACCTGCAACAAATCTGAGAGCTTCAACAGGAGTGCGAGGCTTTGCCAAGATTGTTGAGAATCCCTCGGGCCTCACAGGCAACATGCACGGCAGCAGATGCCGCTTTCCATGCGCGCAGCGTGCGCGCGCGGCCTGATATGCTGCCAGCTCTTCACCGACCAGTCGGCGGCAGCTTTCTATGACGATCAGGATTCGGATCCCACAGCTCTTCCACCCCTCAGATAGCAGCGCCAAGTGCCCAAGCGCATGCTTCATGCCGGGGCGTCCGAAACACAAGCGCTTTCCGAGGAAGGGGCTCGGACAAGAAGCATAAAACCCTAAACCATAAACCCAAGCCCTAATAGCCCTAAACGGGCCGAGGATCCGACACCACGTCATCATCTGTGGGGCAGCCCAGTCTATGGAAAAGACTCGCATTCTTTTGCTGCTTCCAGCTCTTGTTCCGAACAAAAGCGTTCGACCTGCACAGAAGGACAGCTCTGGAATCGTGAGTGGTATGGCACTTGCTTCGACAGAAGGGCATCCCTCGTCATAGTGTCGCTCAAGGCGGGTTCGCATGTGCTCAGAACGAGCGGGTTACAATCGTCACGAACCTCCCCCCCCCTCCCCCCTGCCCACCGCACACCTTGGGCTGCTCTTGCACCCCATAATGGGGCCCTATAGCCCCCTTTGCACCTTGGGGTGAGCCACAGGAGCCATGTCCTGACAGCTCCTTGAATCCCGATGTGGTTTCCATATATGGTTCTGGTACGTTTCACCCCTTTTTTCACAAGAAGGTTGCTGCATGTGTCTTTCTGCAGGGTCGTGTTAATGACTCGGGGGGTTTTTTGAACCCCTTCCCTGCCTGGCCGACTCCAAGGCGTGCAAGAGTTTGAAGAGCAGGTCCTCGAAGAAGCAGAAGGTCTCCTCAACTCGCTATTATGAGGATTCCCCTTCCCTCCCCCCCCCCCCTTTCGGGTGGCGACGTCCCAGGAATCTACAGAATCTACTGTGAGAACCAGTTATAGGGTTCTTAAAGGGAGCCTCAGGGAGTAGTGGGGAGTTTTTTTGTTGGGGGAACCTTGGGTGACATACCACTCTTGAATCCCCTTCCCTCAAGAACCCTAAGCCCTAAACCCTAAACTTTGAACTCTGAGCCTCCCTTAAGAAGCCTTACATGAACCAAAGATGCTCCTCCGGCGCCGGAACGCTGGCACAGTCCACCGGTAGGAAACGCCCGGCCGAGCCGTGGCCACAAAAGGCGCACACCAGCAACAGGGGCTCCTGCCTTCGAGGTTTAGGCTTTTTTTGGCTGAGGGTTTAGGGTTTTCTTGGCTTAGGGTTTAGGGTTTAGGGTTTTTTGGGCTTAGGGTTCAGGGTTTGGGGACTTTTTTGGTTTCGCCACCCGCACTGCGCGCACACAAGCACCCGCTCTGCAGGGTTAAGTCGAGGTCTCCGGGAGTGGCTTAGGGTTCAGGGATCAGGGTGCTTTTGGCTTCGGGTTTCCGAACACCTTTCTGAAACCAAGACGCATCCACATGGATGCCATGGGATGCCTTCTTGCTTCAGCTTGCAGGGCAATTGTCGTTACCCTAAACCCTAAACCCTAAACCCATTTGACCTACTTGTTGTCCTGCTCCGGGTCCCCCTTGCACCTTTTCTACACACGCTTTCCTTTCCTATTTGCTCTTCTGTTCTGGATCTCATTGACACCTGTTTCATCTCACGGGGCTTTTGCCACCCGAGTTTCATGGGGGTTTGGGGTTTATTAGGTTTCTTATCCCACTTGTTCTCCCATGCTGGGTCTCACTTGCACTTGTTCCATTTCTGATCATTTCTGCTTGTCCCCCTTGCTTCGGGCCGAATTTGCACCTGTAGTAGACAGGGTTAGTCTTCCCCATGTGGGGCGGAGGGCTTTGTTTTCCCTAAGCTCGCTAGGGCTTTCAGGGTTTCCGAAACCAAGATGCAAGGTGGCCATAGGACCTCATAGGATGCTTTCTTGCTCCAGCTTACAGGGCAATGGGCCGAGGTCCAAAGTGAACAGCGACCCTCAAGTCATCTGGAGATTGACAGCTACCGACGTGAGATCGGTGTCGATGAGCACAGACTAGGCCAGGAGTAGCGAATATCCCTAAACCCTAAACCCTAAACCCTAAACCCTAAACCCTAAACCCTAAACCCTTTTTGCAGCGAGCCTCGTGCGCCAGCAGCTCGGTTACAGGCACTCTGAGAGGCATTGCTTAAAGCAGCCCTAACAGAGCCTGCAAAACTCGGTGGGGGACTAACTGAAACGTAACAATCCTGTCGTACTCAGCAAAAGCTCGTAAATGGAAACTCCACAACTCAGAAATACACTGATGATACACCCAGTCTTCCATGTGAACCTCCAAGCTCAAACCGCTGAACTCAAATTGCAGGTACTGTAGCCACAGAATGAGGACTGACAAGACATCGCCTTCCCTGACAAAGCGTTGCATTCCCTCCTCTTCATGCAGCCAACCTAGGGTAACTGTAAGTGAGGACTCCATATACGCCCCAGGGGCCACGTGCAGCATGACCCCCAAGTGCCAATCCGTCTGCACTCGAAAGACATCCCGCCACTGCGTCGGAGGGCTCGCATGCACGATGGGATGTTGCAATTGGTACTGTAGAACGACCTGCTTGCTCATCTGAAACCATCTTTCTCGATCCGAAGCGACCACCTCTAAGTCACCCAATACTGCAGGTAAACCCTGTTTGGAGATCTGCTGCAAGCCCCACCCCACTGAGTGCGACCACGGGCTGGGCACAGCAGCTTTGGTGCTGCACAAGCTAGTTGCTGACTGACGCGCGATGCTGTGCTCCGGCTGTCGAAGGAGACGCCCTAAATAAGTCCACTTGCGCTGCGCCCAAATACAACACCAGTCTTGTTGGGGTACGAGAGTCAACAGGACCAAAACCACTCTCCTTCTGATCCTGTGTAAGTGCATGGCAGCTGGGGGATTACTGACGAGGCTAAAAACTCCCAGGACTTCCCTGCGCGAAGGACACTGGGGTGCGACATCAGGGCAGTCTTTCTCAAGTTTAGTTTAAGACCAAGTCGCCCAAGGGCCTGGCACAGATCGCCCATGCAGCGCTCACACTGAGCCCAGTCAACAAAATTAAAGATCATGTCGTCTACATAAGCCCATCCGTAGGAATCGTGCCAACAAGGTTCACCCCTCTCGCTCCACTGACGCTGAAGCTCACACATTGTATGGCCTAAGACATAGCTGAACAGTAGGGCTGAATGCGAACCACCCTGTTGAACTCCGCATGTCTGTTGCTGGTTCCATTGCTCACCCCTCCAAGAAAACTTTAGATCAGGACCAATCAGGAGTTGGAGCAGCCTGAGCGCCTCTGTGCTCAATTCATCAGGACTGTGCTCTTGCACAAATGTTGCCACACTTGCCTGCGAAATGCTGTCGAACGCCGCTTCCACGTCGCAGCTGATCCATATGCCATACTTGTGCCCTCTGCTCTCTTTCAGAACACGATTGTGGGCGCACATGAGTGCATCTACAACCTGGGAACCCAAAACGCCCCCCAATTGCAGTCCCGGCCTCGGCCAATGCTGTTGTAATCTCGTAACTAAGAGCCAGGCAAAAATCTTGTGGATGGATTCTAATAAATTGATTGGACGAAGGTCTTTGCATTCCAATATCTGATGTTGCTTGGGCAGAAGGCACACGTATGCATGAAAAAGGTCCGCGGGCAAGGACTCGCAGGCGAGCAGATTGTTCAGGTGCGAGACAATCATTTGCTGTCCCGCATCCAGTTCCCACACTGCAAGTAAAAACTCGTTGCTGATACCCGTAATTCCAGTAACTTTACCACTCTTGAGGCGAGCCATTGCCTTACCGACCTCAGCAAAGTCAAAGGGAACTGGCGGGCATTTGCTCCCCTTCTCAGAAAGGCGGTCCAGGGCTTGTTTCAAGTCCCCTTGTTCCTCTTGAGAGGGCTGCTTGCCAAAAAGCTCGGAGTAGTGCTGCTTGACAGCCGCTATGCTCGCTTGCACCCCACCACACTTTGCGACGAAACCTTCGGTATCAGCCCCATGAACTACGCCACGCTGTCTTAGATACCTTATTGCACCAGCATCACCCCGCGAGCTTCGATCATGAAGATCCTGCAACCACCGTAGCCGAGCTTCATGCCTAGTAGCAATAACCAGCCGTGTCAGACGAGCACGTTCTTGGGGGTCCGTGGCCAGTCTTCGCTGTTGACAAAGTTGCTTAACTCCAGGGGGGTCTTTGTACTTAAGGCTGGGGGCGGAAAACGAAAACTCGTCTGACAACTGCTTTAGGGATTCCCATTGCTGCTGTGTGTTCAGCTCCACAAAGGCAGGCGCCGACACAGGTACAGTGGCGTGTAAAGCAGCTCTGCGCACACTCTGTCTCCTACACTTGTATTGCCTGTATCGACGTCTCCGCCTGCGCTGGCCAGACTGTGCAGGATCCTTGAGAGCGAGTTCCAGCAATACACAATCATGGTCGCTACCAATAGCTGTATGAAATATTGTAGAGCATTTGGCCGCTGCGTCATCTGTGACTATCTGAGAGAGCAAATATGAGTTACCCATGAAGTAATCGAGTTCAGTTTCGGAACTCCTCCCAAACCGAGTAGCTTGGAGACTTCGAAAGACGCGGCCACGCATTGAAGTGATTGTTTGGCTGAGCTGAATGCCTCGGGCACTTGTCGCCTCTGCATTGAAATCACCCATGATCACGAAAGGATCACCTCGAGAGTCTACTGACCGCTGCAAAGTATGGACCTCCCTAAGGGAGCTCTGGAAGTCCTCATCCGAATTATCACCATGAGGAAGATGGCAGCCAACCACGACTAAATGCCTCATCGAGTATGCACAAACCATCTCAACACCCAAAAGTCTGTCTCCTTTCCAGCAATGAACAACATGGTCAATGCAGTCCCTGCCAACAAGCATCATTTGACTTAGGTGCGAAGAGAGTTGTGTACACGCAAAGGCAACGTAATCATGGATCTCGCTGCACTCGTGCAATGTCACCTGCACAAGTCCTTCCCCGTAGTCGTGCACTATCGGAAGGGCAGCAACACCACCCACTTCCTGCAGAGCCACAACATCAAGACATTCGCCCGTTTCTTCATGCCAGGTCATAAAGTCCCGAAGAGTTTTGCCCCGTAGGTTCCAACTAGCAAAGGTTATAAATTCAGGTTTACCGAGTCCGGGATCTTGGTGTCAGGGCTCGGCGCGCAGCATGGCTTCGACATCGGCACTGGATTTCTCACACTTAGAGGCCAGCAGCGTGAGATTGAAATAAAACTCGGACCTTTCATTGTACCCATCGACGAAAGTCTTCGTGAAGATCTGGTCACCCTCCCTTGCAAGGAGGTGTGGCTTGGTCGCCGCAGCAACTCTCTCTCTGCCCCACCAGACCAATTGCCTTCCCCAATCCAACTCGAGGTGGCTTCCCTCAGCATCGAAAGTCAGTCCACTAACCTTCTCAACGGATTCTTTGGCCATCCTCGTGCTACGGTTCTTTGCTCGAAGGCCCGCTGTGCGATGTGGGGACAGGTATAACAAACCACCAGTACTGGTCCGAATCTTGTTACTGTAAGCCTGCTGAATAGCATAGAAACGCTCGCGGGCTTGTTCATGCGGTTGTTGGGTCAAGATTGTGTTGGCTGTCCTTGATCTTCTTCCATACACAAAAGTGCGAACCACCTGCTGCCGTATTGCCTGCTCCCACTGGCTTATGCACTGCGCAACTTCCTTCTCTATGACCGACCTTGGTGTGTCTGTTTCCCATCCACCCGCTATGATTTTGCAGAAATCCGTGTCCTGGAAGGACGTGGGAGAGGACCCTAAACCCTAAACCCTAAACCCCCTTTCAACAGTACCGCAGGGAAGCGTGGCGAGCACACCTGTCGGTTTCTGTCGGCGGCTCCGCTGCTGTCGACACCTGCCCCAGGTATTCCTCCACCGCCGCCTGGGCAAAGAGTGTATTCGGGCCCACCTTCAGAACCTCAAAAACCTACTGTTTGTAGGGTTCCCTAAGACTCCTCTAAGGAGTTTGTAGGGTTTCCTAAGGATCCGAAAAGGGTGCTTTATCATACTTACCTACAAAAAAGGTAGGGTTTTGGGTTCCTAAGGATAGGGCTCAGTGAAACTCTGGGGTGTACGGCCATCCTGACACCGAATCTCACCAACAAGGACACAAAGCTTCCGGGCCTGCATCCCTGCCAACGTCTCATCAATCGCAGATTGTACCTCGTCATGCCCTAAACCCTAAACCCTAAACCCTAAACCCTAAACCCTAAACCCTAAACCCTAAACCCTAAAGAGACAGAGCTTTGCTACTTTAAGTAGCATGTTCATCACATCACAACTCCGTCGTTGCCCGGTGCTTCATGGGGCTTCGCTTCCCTGCTCGGCGCATACTGCATTCTTCCCCCGTAAAGATTTGTGAAGAGAATCGTCTCCTGCAAACAGCCCCCCCCCCCAACCAAAAAAAGACCGCTAAAACCCTAAACCCTAAACCCTAAATCCTAAACCCTAAACCCTGAACCCCTCAAACGGAATCCCAAGCCCTCCCCGAAGAGGGCCTGGAAGTCCAGAGCATGGAGCTTGCGGGCGAGCTCAGCAGCTGCGGCTGCTGGTCGGGACAGCTTGGGCCTGTGCCTCGGCCGCGGACAAAGCCCTAAACCCTAAACCCTAAACCCTAAACCCTGAACCCTGAACCCTAAACCCTAAACCCTAAACCCACGGCACTGCATCCCGGGGCTCTTTTTTGGGGGCTCTTGGGGGCCAGGCAGGTATGCGCCGTTTGCCAGGATCAGGGCCAAACGACGAGCCATGGCTTCGGGGCGTGAGGGTGCATTCTGCAAAGCCTTTGCACGAGGCCAAGTCCATCTCAGGTAGGGTTTAGGGTTTAGGGCTTAGGACTTAGGGTTTAGGGTTTAGGGTTTAGGGTTAGTTTCTTTATGGTTGCGATCATCGACAGCTACGGCTACAGCTGGGCTAGTCTCAGGGATCCCAGGCTCACGACCCCTGATGTCTCATGTCGTGTTCTGACATTTTGCAGTTTGCGGGCTCTGTGAATGTTGACCGCGTAGAAAAGTCGGTAGATACTGGCTTCGGTCTTCACATGTGGACGCAAACCTGCTCTTACATCAGAGGGTCTGTTCATGTCGTCGCGGCCAGGCCTACTCGTCCAATCTGCCAAAAGGCCGGTAGACGCGTCTGTCAAGCACGAGTTCTTCCCCTGAACCCCTTTGAAGCATCCACTAACCTTCACTCGCGTTCTGGTAGGCATCGGGGCAGGGAGAATAGACTGTTTTGCACCGCAAGATGCATACACAACTCGTGAACAAACATGCTTGCAACATCTTGTGAAGTACTTGTTACCTGGCACTCCATCTTCCCGCGACTCGAACCGGAAACAAACCAGCCCTTACCTCAGGTTATCCCTCTGATGCAAAGTTTATACGGCCGGGCTTTTCAAGGTTCAACCCCCCCCCCCCCTGTGCTTCCCAGGCTTCGAGAGATCTTGGGATGAGCCCCAATTGCTCACGACATTGAGGTGGTATGGGGCAGTTAAGGTAGGGGGAGAGCCGAAGAATCCATAAACTACCAGGTATCATAAATAATTGCACAGGCAACACACAAGAGCAGCTGGGCGAATTTCGCGTGACATTCTTGCGTGACATTCTTGTATCCAGCAAATTCTGCCCTTTGGGCAACGGCTCTTGAGAGGAAGTGACTCTACGTCGCACACCAAATACACTGGGCGCCGTCTCTCAGGGTATGTTGCTTTGCTGCTGCTGCGGCTGTCCTCAGGATACCCAAAAAACCTGAACCTGATACAACTGAGACAGCGCCACTTGCAAGACTTGACGTCACTCTGCCTGGAACAGAAGGAAGATCGGATACTCAAAACATCGGCTGCCCCGGAACAGGTCCCCGGCAGGCTGCAGTGGGGTAACGCGTCGCGCGGGGGCCCCACCATTATGACTCCTGCCGGGGCATGGCACCTCGAATTACATGCAAAGGCCAAGGTCCATGCCACACCTTGTGAGTGGTGCATGGCAGGCTCACGCTGAGAAGTATTAGCAGGGCGCCCCGGTGCACAGCACAGCCGAGCCGGAGAACCGTGCTGAAAACGGGAAAAACCGGTAGAACATGGTGGAATTCGGTTGACAACATGGTTGCTTATGGATACATTCGGACCATTCGTATGCATATGAAGAGGCTCAGCCCAGGGCGGCGCCACTTTCGTCTTACGCAGACGGCGCCACGCGCGCCAGCTGCGCGCTGTGAGTGCGGCTTCCCGAGTCCGAAAGGAATCGCCCTTTGAAGAGCTGGCTCAGCATCTCCGTTCCTGTTCCTCCTGTTCCTGTGGGCTCCGAGGCTGCTCCTTGCTGGTAGAGCCACAAGTCTGTCAGGTCACTTGCCTGATTCATCGCCTCGACGTACGCCAACGCGTAGCGGTGCGCCTGGTTCTGCGCAGCTCCCAGGCTGCCGACGCATGTGCAGAAGGCCTCGAAGTGGATTGCCAGAATCTTGCTGAAGTTTGTGGATGTCAGATCACCCACGTGGCACCATTCTGTCCAGAGGCACATCTCCGAGATCCAGTGGCGTGCACGCAGCTCCCACAAGTTATCGTCAGTCTCATAGGAAAGCGAGCCCTGCATGGCAAAGTAGCACGCCTCCGCCTTCGCGCCGCGGCAGAAAACGAGATCATCCTCGCCGGCATCGAGGACCACCACGCCCTGTGTGGCCAGTCGCTGAATAACTTGCCCTTCCTGCGCGCTCATCTCGTGAGACTGCAGAAGGCTCTTGAGAAAGGGTAGCAGCTCCAAGCATTGCTTGTACCGGGCGAACTGTAGCTCTGCGGAAAGTGACTTCGACAGCAAGCTGAGGATGTGGAGGTCTTGTTCCTGTGTCTCTGTCGCATGGTAGGCAAACTGCAAAAAGCGGGTGACGCGGTGGCCGAGGCCATCCGGGATCTTCTGCTGGCGCAGGAACCGTCTCAGCAGGCCAAACTGCTGAGACTCCTCCAGCCGCCGACTGTGCAGTGCAGTGACCAGGGATGTCATGGAGCTGATCACCGTGGAGAAGGTCACCAGGCTGATGAAGCAGACAAGGACGGTGTAGTAGCCCTCTGTCTCGTTCGTGGCCTCGATATTGGTCCCCCCAACTCCGAGTTGCATGAAAGCCCAGCGGAGGGCGCTTGTATATTGCACCATCACTGAGCTCTCCGTCAACTCATTCTTCTTCAGCCACGTGCTGGCATCCTCAGACGCCAGGACGCCCACCCCCAACCAGCAGCAGGCGAGGACATGCTCCACCAGCATCATGCCCAGCATCACCAAGAGCAGGCTAAACTGTGTTGAGGCCATCGGCGACTCGAACTGATCCCGGAGGAAGGCTGCCACCCGAGTGAGCTTGCCAAGGCGAACGACACGGAAGAGTCTCATGAGCCTGGCAAAACAAGCAAGAGAGGGCGGGGGAACTCACGCCCAGCCTGCCTTATAAACCCTAAACGACCCCAACAACGGAAAAGGCAAAAAATAAGGCAAAAGGCACAGCAACTGAGGGGCCTTAGGATTCGAGTCGTTGCGGCCGTCTCCCCAACGGATTCTCCAAGAGATGAAAACTCCAAAAGAAAATCCACAAAGGTGACAAGGATGTCTGGTACGAACCAGGTGCGAAGGTAGTGACACCAAACTTTTCGTAGATCCTGCACAAGGGTCCCCTTGTGAAGGTAGCCCGTGGCGAAGGACAAAAGGATGTCGGCAGCCCAGTAAAACACCCCCACCTGAGTGATGAAGAAAAGAACTGGGAATCTCAAGATAAAGTCGTCCACCACGAACTGCAGAGGGATGGTGATGGAGTCTTTGAGCAGGAGGAAGATCCCCAAGCAATCCCAGAAGTTACGAAAGTGGCCCGTGGGGTCGATGGTGTAGGCCGGCTTGCTTGTCGAGGC